GAAATACAAGCCGATTTCCAACACCTACTGAACACACAAATTCCGGAACATTTTCTTTCGAACAGAGTGCGGTTCCTCTATTACATACAAATGGGCGGAGACATTTAAATAAGGTATTATACAAGAGGCCCATGGGCCTTATAGGTCACCTGAGTATTATGCAACAACTTTCCAGTGATTGAATTTGATTCATGTTTTAAGCCAGATGCTATGGCATTAACAATTTTGAAAGAGGCACCATTGATCATCATAAAAATACACTTAGCAGTTGATTAGTTTGTTTACTTAATACCCATGGGCAGGGTTGGGGAACAAAAAATGCATTTCAACTAATCAGTAATATTCAGCAATAATCAGTTGTGCCCCTACCAACATGAACCCCTGAACCTTAGGCCAAGATCCACACATTGCACAATTTTTGAGATGGCATCCTTGCTTTTCAAAAATATTTGATTTAAACCAAGGAACAGATTTCGAACAATTCATCCATTTTCAGTATTTAAGTACAGCCCCCCCCCCCCCCTTTCTATGGTACCCCTGACCCTGGGGCCTTGAAATTCACAATTCTAGAAGATTAGGGCCCTTGCTCATCATAATCATATAGGTAGTTCATCTGCTGAATACCAAGAAGCAGAAAAGAAAATTTTCAAAAATTTAAAGTATTTTCACTATATAATCAATAGAGCTCCACCCTAACACCAGAACCCCTGACCCTGGGGCCATAAAATTCACAATTTTGGTAGAGGCATTCTTGCTCATCATAACCATGCACTTAGTTAGTTTATTTAATACCTAGGAGCAGAGAAGATTTTCAAAGAATTCATGCATTTTCACTATATAATCAATAGAGCCCCACCCTAACACCAGAACCCCTGACCCTGGGGCCATAAAATTCACAATTTTGGTGGAGGCACTCTTGCTCATTTTAACTATGTACTTATTTGGTTTATTTGATACCCAGGAGCAGAGAAGAAGATTTTCAAAGAATTCATGCATTTTCACTATATAATCAATAGAGCCCCACCCTAACACCAGAACCCCTGACCCTGGGGCCATAAAATTCACAATTTTGGTGGAGGCACTCTTGCTCATTTTAACTATGTACTTATTTGGTTTATTTGATACCCAGGAGCAGAGAAGAAGATTTTCAAAGAATTCATGCATTTTCACTATATAATCAATAGAGCCCCACCCTAACACCAGAACCCCTGACCCTGGGGCCATAAAATTCACAATTTTGGTGGAGGCACTCTTGCTCATTTTAACTATGTACTTATTTGGTTTATTTGATACCCAGGAGCAGAGAAGAAGATTTTCAAAGAATTCATGCATTTTCACTATATAATCAATAGAGCCCCACCCTAACACCAGAACCCCTGACCCTGGGGCCATAAAATTCACAATTTTGGTAGAGGCACTCTTGCTCATCTTAACTATGTACTTATTTGGTTTATTTGATACCCAGGAGCAGAGAATAAGATTTTCAAAGAAATATTGCATTTTCACTATATACTTATTTAGCCCCGCCCTAGCACTAGAACCCCTGACCCCAGGGCCATGAATTTCACAATTTTGGTAGAGGACTCAATGCTGATTACAATCATGCAAAAAGTTTGACTGCTTGATGTCCAGGAGTAAAGAAGAAGATTTTTAAAGATTTCATTGATTTTAGTGGTTTTTGCCCCACCCCTCAGGCCCCAGGGGGGCAGGGACCATGAAATTCACAATTTTTGTTCCCCTTCACCCACAAATGCTTTGTGCCAAATTTGGTTAAAATTGGTTCAGTGGTTGCAGAGAAGAAGCTGAAAATGTTCAAATGTTAACACACGACGGACGACGCACGTCGCACGACGACGGACGAAAACGGATAGCAATAGGTCACCTGAGTTTACTCAGGTGACCTAATAAAGGAAGAAACGATGAATTGTAACGTGAGATAAGAAATGATAAACAATATAAGATGGGTAATGATAATCTTCAATACGCCTGAATTTTATTTTGCATCATTCGTATTCTTCTTAACTTGATGTGGGTGGGAGTCTTTTTTAGTTCTTGAGGTATTTTTGTCGGGGTTTTGAAAATCCCCCTAATCACAATATTTTTTTTAAATCTATCATTGTTGAATAAAATGTCAAGATATTTTACCCACTACAATAACTTTCTTTTATATGATTGTTTGAAAAGCACAAGCGATTGCATAATGATTGACGGTAAATATACACAGACATACACTCCCATAATCTTTTGTAAAGATTTTTTTGGGGGTGGGGTGGGGGTGAAGAACTCAAGAATTATCCCTGAAAAAGAATGGGTCACCCCTCCCCCAGATACTACCTGCCTGACATGTAGATATATTTCTTAACTTCGCTGTAAATTCTACAATGAATATTCCGATTTACTTATCGATTATAAATACATTCGAAGTTTTTCCGAGTTTATATAAAATATTATATGCATGCAGCTAGCATCCAAAAACGTGACAAGAGTATAAAGTTGCTTTGAATATTGAAGTGGTCAGTATGCGAGTGCATTTGTTTAGACTGAATAAATGTGAAGAAATTATTACGTCTTTGGTATTTTCTGCTTATAATTTTTTGTTTCTTTTTCGCAAGAAATTGATTAAATGTGTATTTATATACATCTACGCGTGTGCTTTTCGCAATGAACAGGAATACTGCGATTACGTGCATGAGAATTAAAAAATGTCCCGGAAAATTGTCAAAGTTTAACAAAAGCGATATTCATCGAAATCTACTGATATTCTTTTTTATTTTAAAAATGAAAGCTGGTGTCTGCACTTTTCAAATATGAGCTACATGTGTCGCTTCCTACAGGAAACACGTTTCCCAAAGGTATTCACCTGTGGCGGAATGGAATCACGTGACATATTATCTATTCTTAGCAGGTCAACAAGAGGTTAATCCTATGTAAATGTACTCACTGAACAGATTCAAAATCATGATACTTTTAAGTAGAAGACATAGAGCGCAGATCTGTTCAACAAAGATATTTTCACACAATCTGTATAAACATAATATACACATTATATTTTGATGTCGACTCTGAACAAATCTGCGCTCGATGTTTACGAAAGCTCTGAAGTGGGTACCTGTCACAAATTTCTTTTGATATTCATGAAAATCAAAGGACCCCACCTTCAAAACACGGCCTGGCGTGTTGTCTATTGCAATTATTTTATATTTTTAAACGTTGGCGCAAATACTACATACATAAGAGAATAATAAAATTTACTTTTTAAGTGTCTTAATGAAAGTTTAAAATTTGACAAGTAACCGGGGACCACAGATAATGGCTTATTGAGACTTCTTCTTTGTCAGGCTTCATGGTGCCATGTGGGTATTTCCTTATGTCATGCACATACCTAACATATTACTTTTGGGAAAAGGGAGGGAAAAGATATCTTAATTTTTTTCAGAATATTTTAATTAATTGGCAAACTTTCCAATATTTTTCATTATAGGTATAGATAAAATCAGCTGCTATATATGCTTTGTAGTTTTCTACTTTCGTTTTCAAAAAACGATCTCTTTGGATTCCGATTTTATGGTTTGATTAGTATTTTATTGTCTTTAATTTATGTTTTTGATAAAATGACTGACTATTATCAGGTTAATCTATGCGTTTCATCTTGCGTACCCCTTAAAACTGACAAGATAATCCCCATATTGCCCCAAGCTATAAGCTACTTGTACCTGGACAACTGCGTGCGTTCAAGCGTGAAGTGATTTCCTGTGGCTATAGGCCTAATTAACACCTGGTTAAATAAACATTGAGACTTATCTGTGTGCATTGAATAAACAAGTCTGACATTGTTAGCCCGATTGTCAAAATTCAGCGGTAGGGAAACTTTTAAAATCGAAAATTTTGGTGATGTTTTTTCAAATCGGGAAATGAGGCCAATTTTTCTTTCACGATCGGGAAGGCGGGATGAAAGGGTAAAATCGGGAGGATCCCGCCTAAATCGGGAAAGTTGGCATGTATGCCCATTGTTTAGGAGATTGATCCCTCGGAAGTTCCTTAACTTCTTGGGGATCAATCTAACAAACGGTAGGGTTGCAGAAAACCTTGCTTTACCAAAAGTTATTCCTTTTTAAGTGTCCTGAAGCGGATTTATGATATTTATAGCCAAAATAAAATTTTTCAATTTTTGCACTGTAAATTTATAGCCCATTTGGGATATTTTTATCCCATACGGACTATTATATCCCATTTGGGCGATTGGTACCAACCTGTTGAAGGAATTTCGAAATTCACAACAATGTACTAGAAATTGCGACAAAAATCACAAAATACTTTGCCCAGCATAAATTTTGTCAGATAACATATGACATTAATGTAAAATACACAATTTTTTTTAGAACAGTTTCTTTTAGAATACAACACCAATATTAGACCCCAAGATGGTTTCCTTGGACGCCACGCCAAGCATCCTACTCCTCTCTTGGTGTTTAAAAAAAATCCCTCGTAACAGCTCCAATAGAAATGACATTTCGGGTCAATTGATAAAGTAATACACAACTCTCTATTCTATGGCAATTCAACACCTTTCTTACCGAAGTACAGAAGTTATGAATAACAATCGATTGTCAAAACGATTCCTGTAAACACATGTCGTCCATTTTACCGGAAGTCATAGGGGTGTTGGTAAAAGTAGATTTATCTCAACTCTAAACACTGCAACTAAGGCAAAAAGCCTAAATTTGCTTAGAACGAATTTATGCAAAATTCAAACAAAACCATTCTGGTTTTTTCCTTCTAAAAATCCAATAAATGCGCCTCATTCAATTTTAGAGGTGTAACAAGTGACCCTGTCATGCATAGGACCACTTTGAGTAAAATGGCCTTTATGAATAAAATCACCTAGTATTACATAAAACTCTTCCTTGCTTTTCTAATTAGCTCATAAAAGTAGTGTGTTGAATGGGAAATGTACTGGCAATACCTTAATCTAAGAAAAGAATAACATAAAAACACAAATCTCCATCTAAAACCTTTACTTGGACACTTAAAATCATTCTGTAAACAACATATCAGAATAGCTTACAGAATCTGAAAATTCCAGACTCCCATGTGCAGGTAAATTGAAACTTAAATTCTTAGCACACTACAGTGCTTTTAATTCATACCTGTGATATTGCAGTTCAACTAAATTACATGAAAAATCCTGACAAACTCTTTTATAAATGCTTGTTTGATTAAAAAAAGTTTCTTAGCCAAAATGAATTGAACAATGCATACTTATCTCTTCACCACAAATAATGATTCAAACCAGTTGACAGTAGTTTAATTAAGTTTTTATAAAACATAGTCAAATTTTCAATGAGTACTGTAAATGCACATAAATTGACACACTCAAAATTCAGTGCAATATTCTCCTTCAATGATGGGTGCAATCAATAAATTTACACATCTAATTCTTGCAAAACTAAATGGATTAGTTTGAATCATGTACTAGCATGTACTTGCATTGGTGGATGTAATGCAATGCAACAGCACTGAAATATTAGAGAAAATGCTAAAATAAGTACATTTACAGCATATGGAATGAAGATAAAATGACAATCAGTTAATGACTGGGATCTGAATTTTTCCCAACCTAGTTATAAACTTGATCTTTTCTTCATAATAAGACATCAAGAAAAATGTCAAGTTCATGACATTTAAAACTAAAAAGTAAGCGAAATGACCCATAATGATACAAGACAAAACATATCACCACTCCAGATCTTAAAATGTATGCAGTACTACAAATACACATGTCATTTTGGGATTGTAAACAAAGTGTGAATTAATTAATTAATGAACAGAGATTTTGATGACTTCTTCTTCAGCAAGTATTAAAAACATAGAGGATGAATTTAATATGATCTCAGAAAGAAAAAATCACATCATTAATAATGGCAAGAGTTTTCTCATAATGTAATACAAACTTAAAGAAAAAAAAACAAAATAAAAGAAGAGCAAAGTGACAAAAAATTTCTGCATGAAATACAGTAATGTATACAGCAACCCTGATAAACACACAAAGTATCACAACAAAATCAAAATCACCAATTAAAAATTCACAGCAGTTACTTTTCATATGTTATACAATTCATTCAGTGAATTCATGTACACCCAAATGATAAATTGTTTAATTCCCTGACATCAAATAACACACACACAAACAACCACACAGTAATTGCAATTATTGGTAAAAAAAAATCTCTTTCAAGTCAACACCATATTATATTTGTAGCACATTAATTGTTCCATCATAATTTTACGTAGAGGAAGACAAAATTTTTCATTCACAGAAAAGGGAAGTGAAAGCTTCTTTTGTTGTCAATTTATTTTTGTTCTAAATGAAATAAAATCTTCTGATAATGAACTGTTTTCTTAATCTTTCTAATGGTCTTTCAGAATAACAAATTATATGGTCTTTACCAATAAAGAGTGAGGAACTTAAGGAAGGAAAATAAAACTACCACTGTGACCATTAAATGGAAAACAAGTGAAATGAATATAATAATAGGTCTAATAAGTGAATTATGGTGTCAACAGCACATTTATAAAGGCATCTTTCCCATCACCCATCTTCCTGTGATGAATTCTAGAAGAAAAAAAACTTATTTGAACAAAGTCAAAAAAAGATTTCTCTACAGTTTTCTTAAAGCTAAGATTCCTTGAAAGGTTAATTTTTTAAACAAAAAAGAAACTGAAAAATAGGTAATTGATGAAGAAAATAAAACTTCTTTAGATGATACCTACATAAACTTCCATTCACTTTAACCAATAAGTAGGTAAACTATGAACACAATTTTCCTACTTATCTAATCGATACATGTTATCACTAAACAATGCTATATACCCACTAATAATAAAAATATTTCTTCAATATCTTCTATTATTATTAATTTTTATTATCTTATCTTCTTATATTTGATTGCCATTTATTTTATACATCCTTGGGGAGAGGGGGGGGGGGGTGAGGGAGGATACTTTTATCAAATTGGTTCTATAGATGTCCAAAGTAAGACATAAACTAAAACTTAAACAACTAAATCATCATACTTTGTGCTTATGATTCTTCAATAACTTAATACAAATCACTAACTATGTACAAATGAGTATTCACAACATATATCTGTACAATTATTATATGGATACAATTTTTAAAAGCAAATATGGTTAACTTTTCATATCTGAAATCCAAAAATGAAAGGAAAAATTTACATCACTTTTTTAAGAGAATTCTGTCAATGTAAAACCCAGTTATAGAATGACAACAAATTGATGTGATAGACATGTATATAATAATCCTCCCCCCAAAAATGAAACAATATTAAAAAAAAAAAATTCAAATATCCTTTTCTTTACTTGAAAATGGTTTTTCAAGCATGTATCTTAGCATCCAATAAAAATGAATAACTGGTCACAGAAACATTTAATCTTTGCCCTGACTATTAGGATAGAGAATATCATCATGGATTGCTTTTTGAGAGTGGCGAGGTTTGGCTTAACATCAGACTGGGATTTTAACTCCTTGCTGGGGTGGCACTGATGCTCCTCTGTTTAATCTTTTAGCCCTGAAATACCATATACAACATAAATGCATATATAAATTACAGTTATTTAATCTGTATTCTGAATTTTTTTTTGTATGATCTTTATAATCTGAATACTCAGAATAAATAAGATGAGCAATCATATGTGCTATGGATCTTTATACTCTGATTACTCGGCATAAATTGAACAAAATCATTTAGGAAATATTCCATGGTTTGCTCACCCTGACACAATTAAACATGCACTACCTTGGGGAATTCGTTGGACTAACTGATGCTGGCTTTCCTCCCCTTGGATTATCTTTCACAAAGTTTCGACAGGAAGCTAGCTTAGATTCTAAAGCCTGTGGAATCAAGGAATATATTGTAATAAACAACAGAAGCATTTTTTTTTTAAAAACGTTAATACTAAAAGAATAGGCATTCAATAGTCATATTTTTGTCCAAAATAACCTAGATTCTACCTAAGTCATAGTCTGTTCTATTCAACTCTTATTAATGTTGATTTATGTTTCATAAAAAAATACCAATGCATACTCTTAAAACCAAGTAAAAACATAGGAGGAAAAAGCAAACAAAATTAAGAAATGATTGCATAAATGTAACAGTGGATTGTAATGGAAGACAAAACTTACTCCAACTTTTCGAAGCAGGTCTCCGACTATGTTTAAAGCTGAGATTCTTGCAGATGGTGTAAGTGGTGTGCTTGTTGCTGATTTAAAAGGTATTCCTAAAAATAAAATTCTGGTACATGGCATTTTTGTATTTATAAAATGAAATTTGTTCACTGTATTTACATGTAGATATATTTTGGTGCTATAACTTTCTGTACTCTGTAAGGATTCAGTAACATTTTCAACATGTGCTTAAAGTTAGTTCTAATAACTCATAAATCTTACCTCTGTTTGGAGGAGTGGATAAAGAGGGAGGTTTATCGTTAATGCTGTTTTCCTCTCGCGAATCCTGTTTCTTTTTTACTGGAATTGCATTGGAATTACTGTCTTCTTTGGAAGCAATGCTTTCGACTGAACTTGCTGGTCTTGACTGAACCACGTTTAACTCCGATCGAAGGTCTGTTAAAAAAATTATATATACATGTCCATAAACCAGAGTAATTGTTTTTATAGATCAAGTAAAATCATTCTCTGACAGCACCCTCAATATTTAACCTGACCATTTAGAAGTCAAATCTACTTCTTATACATTAAAATAGTATTCAAAAGTAGAGCATCACCTACTACATGTATAAGACATTGTAACTTTAATGTTTATGTACTTATATTTTGTACATATATAAATGCTGAACTCCCCTCAGATATCATATCTTTAATGTTTACCTGTTGCTTCATCTTTCAATCTCTGCACTGTTTCTGTTAAAGTTTCCTTTTCATCTAATTCACTTTCTAAAAAGGCATTCCTTTCAATTGCCTGCAATAAACAAAACATTTAAAATAATTCTTTCACGAAAAACTAACGACCAACACCTTTATATTCAAGTTGTGAAAGTGTGTCTCTCTACACAGTGTGTTGGTAATCTGTTTATATTTTTTCAGACATATTAAAGTTAATTTAAAACAATTGCAATAAGTTTAATATAGAAAGCAGTCCAAGTTTCACATAGTGAAAAGTGTATGTATATTTAAAAACAAATCTAATCAAGTTCATATAATGAAGTATACTTTAGTATACTTAGTATTGGGAAAAAATTCATCTACATCTACTTTCTAACTTGCCTGATTTAATCTCACTTCAAAGTCTTCCAGTGACACAACTGTTGCCCTAAAAGAATCAGAAAAAGAATCTATTACTACAATAACTATATCTTGTATAAAGTACCATTGTTAAGCAACTCCGCATATGTACAAAACACTCCGCATTTTATTTTGTATATAGCAACGTCAACTGCATTTTTTTGTATATAGCAACATCATCCGCATTTTTTACTTCAATAGATAAATTTATATGCTTGATTGTTCTGATGACGAGCGCCTCAGGTCGAAAAGGGTCAACAAAATAAATTTACTGCTGCATTCTCACGAAGTTTTGGTGATTTGCTTTATACTTCTAAGTTTAATAATGCCAAAATAAAATCCTCACTAAAAATTTGGCTTATACATTAATACATCTAAGTTTTTGAAGATTCTGGGCAACTTTTAATTCTTGTGACATAATTTTACAATTTAGTTTGAGAATTCCTTGTTCTTTGTCAGAATTAATGAAATAAGTCTAAACCAGAAGTCTCTGTCGAGACTGTAACTCTACTGGTTTGTACGTATAATAAAGGAAGAGAAAAGTAGCAGTTGGGACTTAAAACTTTACAAAAGCAATAAATAGAATAATGATCCTTGAATAAGTCTCTTTTTGTAGCAAGATTGCAATAAGACTACAACTGTAGGAGTAGCTTTTTAATTAATAAAATTTTACAGAATTTTCAATTTAAATTACTATATGGCAATATCAATCATCAAAATCAAAAACACAAAACTGATAATTATGTATCTCAGTGTAGTCCACTTGAAAGCCAAATTATATTATAATCAGACTCAAACTGTATTTGGAGTAGCATTTTGAAAGTATTTCACAGAAATTTCTATTTTTAGTAACCACGGCAACACCGTTCTTCGAAATCAAAAAACCGATACACAGAATTATGTATCTTAGTATAGTCTACTTGTGCGCCAAGTAATACTGAAATCAGACCAAATTGTAGGAGGAGTAGCATTTTGAATGTTTTTCACAGAAATTTCTATTTTTAGTAACCAAGGCAACACTGTTCATCGAAATCAAAAACCGATATATAGAATTATGTATCTTAGTGTAGTCTACTTGTGTGCCAAATTATACTGAAATCAGAACAAAATTGTAGGAGGAGTAGCATTTTGAATGTTTTTCACAGAAGTTTCTATTTTTAGTAACCATGGCAACACTGTTCAGCAAAATCCAAAACCGATAAAAAGAATTATGTATTTTAGTGTAGTCTACTTATGTGATAAGTTATATTGAAATCAGATCAAAACTGTATGAGGAGTAGCATTTTGAATGTTTTTAACAGAAATTTCTATTTTTAGTAACTATGACAACACCGTTCATCGAAATCAAAAACCGATAAATAGAATTATGTATCTTAGTGTAGCCTACTTGTGTGCCAAGTTATATTGAAATCAGACCAAAACTGTAGGAGGAGTAGCATTTTGAATGTTTTTCACAGAAATTTCTATTTTTAGTAACCAAGGCAACACTGTTCATTGAAATCAAAAACTGATAGAAGAATTATGTATCTTAGTGTAGTCTACTTGTGTGCCAAGTTAGATTGAAATCAGACCAAAACTGTAGGAGGAGTAGCATTTGAATGTTTTTCACAGAAATTTCTATATTTAGTAACCATGGCAACACTGTTCATCGAAATCAAAAACTGATACACAGAATTATGTATCTTAGTGTAGTCTACTTGTGTGTAAAGTTATACTGAAATCGGACCAAAACTGCAGGAGGAGTAGCATTTTGGAAAATTGTTTACAGACAGACAGACGGACGGATGACGGACACATTATTATCGCATAAGCTCTTCTGGTCTCTGACCAGTAGAGCTAAAAAATGCTGCAGCGCAAACAAAAACATCTTTCATAGGTAAAATCAATATACATGATTACATCCAACAAAGGACACAAATTTCAAAACTTTTGTAAGGGGTTCCAACCTTTTGGCTCTTTCCAGATCATCATTTGTCTGCTCTAACTCCCTGATGTATCTCTGTAATTCGTCTTTATAGGCACTAACTTGAGCTAGCTCATCCTCTAAATTGGATACTTGTCTGTGACTGTTTGTTTGTAAGAGCTCAATCTTTTCCTTTTAAAATAATTTTAAATAGTGTAATTTAAATTCAAGCAAGTAAAAAGTTTCCAACACCATTATTCTTTTTTCTTTGGTTGTTAGAAAATAGATCATTCAGTTTCAAATTGAGCAGTAAAAATTGTGACATGTTCATGACACTTTTGTTTATTGTGGTTAAGAAAATATTTTCACCATGATCATATTTACTGTGATAAACAGTAATTAGTGTCTGTTTAGTGAGTAGAAAGACCCACTAAATTAACAGTGCCAATTAATTTTGAAGTAAAACAATTGAATCTAACCTTGAGTGAGGCATTTTCACTGCTGAGTTTTGTGGTCTCTGACAGAAGCTCTTTGTTCTTAGACTCCAGCTGCTCCAGCTGAGCTTCCAGTTCACATTCCAGCTCCCTGCTGCTTATCTGAAATTCCTCTAATTCCTCCCTTGTTTCTTCCAAACTGAACACAAGATAACAACATTTCTGTAATTTATTCATATATATGAAATATACATTACTTTTAGGTGAAAAAAAAGTTTCTCTGGCTAAAAATTTCAAAATTCAATGCAGCTGGCAGTTTTTTCTTTTTTGAAGCAGGTATCTTTTTTCATATCAGTAGTTCAAGAAAATGTTGACATTAACTGATTCTTACTTTTTTATTCTCTAATACTAAATTCTACTTACAATGAACTCGACTTTGAATATTGCTATTCCAAATTTTTTAAAGTTATTAATAAAGGATCATATAGATATTTTTTATTGTATAGATATTGTTAATGCAATAAAAAATGTCTATCTATTAGTTGTTATGAAGCAGTCTCTGAGGTACAGGTTTATATTTTGAATATAATATATTTAATTATTTACCTCTTTGAGCAACCAATTTCAAACATGCATGCAAGAAATATATGGGGGAAAATATTTACAATCTTAAAATTATGAAAAGAGGCTTTAACAAACGTATATTCATAAGAAAAATAGTGTTATCTTTATCTCAGTATCCAGTATAAGAAATTGAACTTGGTTAAATAAAGAAGGGAACTGGGAATGTTGCCCAACAATATTGCGGCTATGGGGAATAACTCCTAGGCAAAATATGTCATAGGAAAACGGTCTATTGTTGTTTGAATACATTAGATAGAATATTCTATCGTTAAAAGGAATATTGTCATAGAGGCCCTGTTTAATAAGATTCATCCATAATAATGACAAATTGTTAAAATTATTGATGAAAACTAGTTGTAAAAAGGTTCTTAAAATATTATTATCATTTTTATGTCAAATATCTGATATAAGAAAAATATTTTAGCTATAAATGAGTAACTATATTGTACTGAATTATATGTATGTTTTTAGTATCTTATGAGTACAATACATAATTTGCTACACCAATTGTTTGTATTCTATAGTTGTGTTCTACTGTATTTTCATGCTTATTACTATGTTTTCCATGGGCCTTTACCGATTACTGTAATTGTGTTTGTGCCAATAAAATATTTGTATTTGTATTTAATTTGAGTAGGCCGTGTAGCAAAATTTACAGGGGTAGATAATCCTATATTGCTATGATCAGGTAATTTTAATTCAGAGAGTTCTGAATATCAACATACTAGCAGACATATTTTCAAACACAAAACAGATGACCTTATAAAGGACTTATGAATATAAAATTATCAAACATCTTAACTAAATACAGCAAAGACAAGAAAACGAATAAATTCAGGTAACATGGAAGTAATTAATTCTTCAAATTATAAATTTATTCAAGTCCAAGCAAAACAGTGAAAGTTTTTAACAACTGTTGTTGACAAATTTGTTTTCTCTAAGAAAATGTAACAATAAACTATAAGATGAATTAAAATTTAAATGAAGAACTTACTCTTGTTTGAAACGTTCCGCCTCTAGGCGCCAGTAGTCAATCTCTTCTTTTTGAGTTTGGAACTTCTTCGAGTTCGAGTCATCCATCCTTCACCGGAAGTACGAATAAGAGTATTGGATAAAACGAGGAATAACTCTTGAAAAGTGCTCATCGAGTCTTTTGAAATAAACTTTGTTTGTAATATTTTAAAATATTGTTTTGTAAAAATTGTCATTGTCTTTAAGGTCCTCTTTTCATGAAGTAGTTTGAAAATCATTAAAAATTTACCGATGAAATGCCATAGAATTTCTCTTTTACCTCCTTTAAGTTCAAGGATCGTTGAATGTCTGATGCTTGAATAAGATATGGGAAAATAGATTGTCTGAATTTTAACTTTAAATCTATTTTGTCACCTAATCTACCAATTATGACTAACAGTGGTAATTAAATTGAAGCTCCTATATTTACCATCATCCCCTTAATTGAAGAGTCCGAACCCGACGTAATAATTTTCCTGACAGGTGACTGTAAACCTGATGATCAATGGCACTGTTGGGCCTTAAAGACGAATTACTAGAGGAATCAAACAGCTATTGGAATGTAAACAAGATAGGAGGGTTGCCTGTGAGAATTCAATTTTGTATATAACTTTTAAGATGCCTGACATTCTTCATGTATCATGGTTCATGTCATTTTTATGCCATGAATTTCGGATACCTACCTTCAAAAAAATTATTCAACTGAAAAAGTTTCTCTTAAAATGAAGAAGTAAAACTGTGTAAAGTTGAGATTATTAGAAACTTTATTTTATTTATTGAACTAAGATATGTTATATGATACAGCAAATGTTATATAATATTTATAATAGAATTTGAGTTTGTTTGACTGGAATGTTTATTAATATAATGTTTGTTAGAGAGAGAGAGAGAAAGAAAGAGAGAGAGGTTTCTTAAACATCTAACATCTACTTTATCTTGGTTAAATATTGCATGGGTTGTTCATGTTGTTCATTATATTTAAAATTTTTCTTAGGACTGGATGTTCCAAGAATGCACCATACCAACGTGCCAATGTTGTAACGATCCCATGATTCTGATTGTTCAGATTTACTGTCCTTTAGAGGGGTTTCCTTACCACAGGACTTTATATGTCTTTACTTGCAAAAGAAAACAGTGCTGGGGCCATGATGAGAGGTATAAATTTTGCTCTTCTGGATATTATACATCTGTTCATATGATCATAGGGTATTGCATGTTCATATATAGGACAATAAATAATAAAACTCTATAAAGGAAAATGTTGTATTTGTAAAAAAAACCCTGCACTTTCATTGTAAATTTTATAACAATTAAAATAGGGGGTTTTATGTGAAGATTTTTGTCTATAGCAAAACTACTTGTTTAGGAAAAGAAATGTGACACAGGTGAGCATTATGGACCCTGTGCCTTCCTGTCTTCAAAAGATTTATGATCATTTTATTTGCAGCTGGTGTGTCTTGAGATCTCAGCTGTTGGATACAAATTACAAAAAACTCCCTACAGCAACAAAACAAGTAAAAGAGGAAGCCATGTTTGCTAGTGAAGATGACTGGGGTGAAGATGTAAATGATTTGAATTATGATTTTAGTATGACTAAATCTCAAAATGAAATGGAAGAAAATACTAAATCTATTTCCAGACAATCAAATTATGTGGATGTTTTAAAAGGTGGAACTAATGGCAAAAATGATTCTAATTCTGAGTTACCTGAGGTTGCCATAACGGAGGGGGCACTGAGCAATGAATTCAAAGGGTTGACTGTTCAGGATGAGGAAGATATAACAGACGAGGAGGACTATGTCAATGGAGAAGACAAAATGGTCATACCTGACGACATATTTCAGAATGTGTTAGAAATGATTGAAAGCAAACAAATGACAAGTAATGACATGGAGGGGGAGGAGAATAAGATTGCTACAGACAGGCTTGTGTCGTATTATCTAAGTGTACTCGAAGAAGCTCACTTGCAAACAAAGAATGACAATAATCATCTGAAAAAATTACTCAGCCAATACCAGAGAAATGAGGGAGTGGATCTAGAGGGATTACTTTGTCAAGATTTACCCTCAAGCACTTCAAGGTAGTGTTTCATTCAAGCAAAGTCAGTATTAGTCGTATTAAGCTGTTTTATTATTTGTAAGTGCATGTACCGGTACATGTAATACATATAATGTAGTGAATCAAGATTAAATAAAAACTGAGACATATGGGTTTCAGAAATCATAATTAAAATTACTAAAAAATGTATGTAACAAGAAAAATTTTACTCCTTAATTAAAATTTCTGCATATTAATTTGTAATTTTTTCAGCAATGGAAAAGCTGGAGCTGTAACTGCAGGAGAAAAGTATGAACGAACAGAAATTAAGCATGGAGATAAGATGTTTCACAGATTCCTGAAGCAGACTTCAGTTTGTCCTCAGCAGTGTGTTAGGTAGACTAGCAGACAAACTGATATTTTGTTCACAAACCATAACAATTTCTGATTATAATTTCATAAGAAACTATTTGTTGAACATTTAATACAAGTAATGTTTACGTTAATCATATGGAATTATAATGCCCCTTCAATTGTGCATAATTTATTTGAATCATAGGTATCAGTGGAATGGCAGTCCTTTATACATGGGAGAAATGAGTCCCTCTGAAAGATCAATCATTATTAATCAGTCTTGTCGTAGTTGTAATGGACCTGTTGTGTTTGAACTACAGTTGATGCCTGCCCTTATAAACTTCCTTCAGTTTCCAGAGACTTCAGGTATGTACATGTAAAATCGGAAATTTTGTATAACTCAATATTAACTATGAATTTGGAGCATTCATTTCTAGGTCAGTAGGAGTTTAGTATTGTTACTTCATGGTTTTTTTTGGGGGGAGGAAGGGTGAGCTATTGGACAAACAGTATTAGTGTGGTATAGAATATAATATTGTTGTCAGCTATTCTTTTTGAGATACTTTGGCAAAAGCACAGGAATGTAGTTTTTGGAAATGGCCTAGACTTTGATAATCATTATAATCAGTTTGCAATACACAAGGGTTTTATTTTACACATGTAGAAGTAATGCCCTGTTCACACGACGAGTTTAATTCACAGTAAATTAATGCAAAGTAATCTAATGCGAAGTAAATTAATGTGAATTAAATTGTGTTCACACAACAGCTAATGTGAAGTAAACTAATGCGAATTCAAATTTTTACTTCTATAGTCAGGCTCAGTGAGGCTATTATAAAGTCATTTGCAAACCATGTCACCTTTTGCAGAAGCTGATCCATTTGACTTATTGTGAAAGTGCCTGTACACACAATTTAGTGATGAACACAATTTTCCTTATTTTTTCACTCAAAATTAGCACAAGTACCTATAGCTGACCACCGACATGTGACATATGACTTATTTTTTTCATCACGCATGCATCAAAATTTAATTCGAATTAGCTTCGCTTAGCGTTCACATGGAGCTAATGTGAAGTAATTTAATGCGCAGTAAATTAATTCGAATTAAACTATTCGCATTAAATTCTCCATGTGAACGCAGTTCAGATTTAATTCGAAGTAACTATGTTTAATTTGAATTAAACGCTCAGTGTGAACAGGGCATTATAAAGATAATGTCAGAGGAAGCTGAAACAATATATCATGACATTATTTGTAATTTTCCAATCAACACACAAAATTAACTTTAAAATTATAACTTTGCATTTTATACTTTAAGGTCGTACAAGAATATCTTCATTAGACATTCTGATTTTTATCTTCCTTAGTATTCATTCCCTCTTAATTGTTGTCTATTTATTTTTTTATATTGAAGGTCCTGCCACAGAGTTTGGGACTGTGATTGTGTTCACATGTAAAAACAGCTGCTGGGACGGTCAGTCTAAAACCAGACAGGAGTTTGTCCTTGTCCAGCCCGACCCTGACCATCATCTGTTTAAATGACCTAGTGACCTACTTATTTTAGCAATACAATGTACCACTATCTGATTTTACTTATTAGTGGTATTTAGGTTTTTTTATTTCAATTGTTTTATTCAATACCTTAATTAGGTTTGAACAGATTTGATGAATTGATACTTGTTAATGGTGAAGGAATAAATGATTCGTCTACATATCATGCTGTCTTAACCCATGGCAGGGTTCAACAGTATAACTTCATCCATTTAACATTATAATTATGATGTCAATGAGAAATTATGTCAACAGTTTAAAACTTAGGAGTTTGTGGTTTGTGAGTGAAAAACACATATTGAACATAATACTGTATTGCAGGCTTCTTACGTGGTTATAAAATCTGATCTCTCGAAGGAATGAACATAATTTTGGCCAAACTAATTTTTAGCTCACCTCAACGAAGTTGGGGGAGCTTATGTAATACCCTCGGTGTCGGCGTCCCAGGTTAAGTTTTTTGGAGCAGTTTTCTTTTTAAGTACTTCTGTGTCCTAAGTTGATTAGACATGCATGGAAGATGCTTCTAGTGTGTTTCATTGTACCAGTCAAAGTTTCAGATGCTGCAATTTCAGCAAAGGAATGACCAGATTAATGTTTTTGGAGCAGGTTAACAATTTTGGTACAGTTTTTGGTGTAGATCTCATTTCCAAGGAAGTATAAGCCCTACGTTGACCAAACTTGCATGGATGATACATCTAAGGATGCATAATACGAGGCTTGCTTCGGATGCTGAATCTGACCTACATTTTCCAGTTGAGTGAACAGGTTAATCTTTTTGGTGCAGTTTTCATTTCCAAGTAACTATAAGCCCTTTGTTGACCAAACTTGCATGGATGATATATCAAAGGATGCATAATACGAGGCTTGCTTCGGATGCTGAATCTGACCTACATTTTCCGGTTGAGTGAACAGGTTAATGTTTTTGGTGCAGGTCTCATTTCCAAGTAACTATAAGTCCTATGTTGACCAAACTTGCATAAATGATACATCTAAGGATGCACACTACCAGGCTTGCTTCGGATGCTGAATCTGACCTACATTTTCTGGTTGAGTGAACAGGTTAAAGTTTTTGGTGCAGGTTTCATTTCCAAGATACTATATGAGCCCTATAATGACCAAACTTGCATGGATGGTACATCTTAGTATGCATACTACCAGACTTGCTTCGGATGCTGAATCTAACCTACATTTTCTGGATGAGTGAACAGGTTAAATTTTTACTGCAGTTTTCATTTCCAAGTTACAATGAGCCCTGTAATGACCAAACTTGCATGGATGATACATCTTAGGATGCATACTACCAGACTTGCTTCGGATGCTGAATCTGACCTACATTTTCCAGATGAGTGAACAGGTTAAAGTTTTTGATGCAGGATTCATTTCCAAGTTTATACTATAAGCCCTATGTTGACCAAACTTGCATGGATGATACATCTAAGGATGCATACTACCAGGCTTGCTTCGGATGCTGAATCTGACCTACATTTATTCTGGATGAGTGAAAAGGTTAAATTTTTATGAAGGTTTCATTTCTAAGTAACTATTAGCCCTGTGTTGTGCAAACTCGCATGGATGATACATCTTAGGATGCACACTAATGGACTTGCTCCGGATGCTGAATTCGACGTACATTTTCCAGATAATGGACCATCAAGGGATGAAAACTCTCAAGCTTGCTTCAGATGCTGGATTTTGATCACATTTTCGTGATGAAGAACTAGTTTGAAGTTTTTATATAGGTCTATTCCAAAGTATGAGATCAAAATTGCATAAATTTTGCATTTTTGGATGTACACTTTTTATTGGGTAATTGTGTGACTTTGCCTTTCTTAAAGACAACATTCATTGAGGTGAGCTCTGTAATCTCTGATTACCTATGTTTTTTGGTGGACAAGACATATCCATGACATTGCAAAAGAGAGGAAGACCCCTCACTGCTAAAATGGCCCTGAGTGCCAAGTAGTGAAGTACAGTCCTCAGTCAGGTGAAAAAGTCCTGAGAAGGACATATAACCAAAAAAAAACATTGACAATCACTGATTGAAGCAATAAAAACATACAATGAATGATATAAATCAGACTTGATTGTATTTTATGGCCTGCAATGAATATAGCTGGGGCATATAGAATTTGTCATGTCCTTCTTGTGTCCTTCAAAATTTATCTTTCCCTGCATCTGCATTAATTACTGACTATAACACATTTGCACATACATAATGTTACCGACACATCTCATTTGTAGTGATGTTATTTCCATGAACCATTATAGGAAAAACAGCATGTTGGATGTTTTTGCATCTTATTTGATGCTTTGTTTCAATCTGTTGGCTTGCTGTCATGCTGATTTTAGATTTGTTTAAAAAAATATACATGTACATAACAATTGTATAAAATTTTGATTCCCATGAACCACAGAGCTCAGCTGAATAATCTTTGCCCTGCTGTTTTTCAGAGTATGAATTTGAAGGATACTTTGTGTCAAGTTTTGTTGAAATTGGCTCAAAGGCTCTGAAGTAGAAATTAAGGGACAAACTTTGATATAATAAGCTCTATTCAGGCACGTAGCAACAGGGGGGGGGGCCTGCCCCCCCCCCCCCCCCGACTTTTTTTCCCTACATTACCTCTACTATGTAAAGTGTTCATTGAAAGGTTGGTTCCCCCCCCCCCCACGTCTGACCATAGTATAATGATATCAAGGAAATGTAGTTTTGTATGCAGAAAAATTGGAAGTGAAAGGAAGTTGGCCTTGAAAAAAAAAAGTTGGCTACTAACCCCCCCACGAAATAGGATTTTCGAGTTTGGGCAATTTCCTTTTCCTTTTTTTTTTTTTTTTTTTTTTTTTTACAGGTAAGTATAAAAAATTTTTTTTTTCTGGTTGGCCCCCCCCACTTTCAAAAACGATGCTACATGCCTGCTATTAATAATTATCTTCAGTATGGTGATCTAAAACTTTGAACGGAGTAAAGAAAGTTGCATATTCTTATGACTCATTAAGGTCTAGCTGTTCTTGATAAGGCTTTTCCCAATACATTCCCATGTAAAATTGTGTATCTCTATTCTCCAACTTTGGCACCATCCTAATCCCAGAGAACCATGATTTGAACACTGCCGAGAGGAGATACTTCCCGTCATACGGGTATGTCAATTTAATATATCCCAGTGATCCCAAAGAGTTTGATATGTCTTGTTTTATATTTGGATATTTCACTAGAAAAACATTGGTTAAACCAAATAACATAATTTTATGATAAATATGATGACTTCAACTTTCCTATTGTCTACTTTAATTTTTATAGCAGTACACATGTACCTGTTTCTGCATAGGCAGGTTTAATACATCTTTCAATTGCAATGATACACAACAGAATTGCTATCTACAATAAGGCAACCTACTGATAAACAAGTTGATGTGAGTCATCATTTTGCAAGTTCTATGGTCAATACATTTGATCTTGTCAGCAAATTAAATCTATCATTATGTTAACTGTAGATTGATGTGTTTCATACAAATTGTTGGGTCATAATTTATACACTAAATTGTCCATGAATGGCAGGTTTGACCACTGGACAGGTGGATGCTTGCTCATTCATGGCATCTAATCCAACCTCTGTTGTTTATAGAGGTCTGTGCTTCTTCTGTTCTTGGTTTGTATTTATAGAGGTCTGTGTTTGTTTTGCTCCAATTGGTTTGTATTGCATCAATAAACTTTGGAGTATGATCAGTTTGTTATCTTGATATTTCTTTGCATATAAATATGAATATTTTGCCCTTATTGTTCTTGAGCAGTATATTTTTATGATGCAACCTCATTTTCTCAATTTCTATATAATCTTGGAAAAGGAAATTGGCCCAGAATATAAACTTATAAATCCTCTTTACCCAAGGATGGTTTGAGGAAAGATGGATTGAATTCTGGCCCTGGTTGAATGAGAAGGGAATTTTTCATAGCTCATTAAAATATTGACCAACGTGAGTAAAGCATAGTTGGATAAAAACCTTTTCGCCATTTCAATATCCGATCGCAGTTCATAAAATATTTCTTGTATACTCTTGATGTCAATTTGTGATTTCAGTTGCAATAGAAACAAAAATTGTCATTGGCCGAACATGATGTGCTAATAGAGGCATGAATATTACAGATTACGACAGTTTTTGTGATCAAGCAGCCACGGGTAGGAGTTTTTATTACATTATGCGATGGATGACAGTAGATCAATGCTGGAACCTCTTTAATCAGGAGAGCTAAAAAACAAGACAAGTTCTGAGGTTTTTAACTTGTTTTAATATGAAACATTTATAATTAAAATCAAATTCAATCAGTTGGAGGAAAAAATCTTTTTACGGCTTCTTCAACAGTAAAACGAACAGCTTCAAAAGAATCTTGAATTCCAGAGAAGTCTGTTTCTTTTAAAAATAAGTCTTGATATTCTGGTAGAATTTCTTTATCGTTGTAGATTTTATCTTTCACTAAATTTCTTTCAACCACTTGATTGTATCCGAGAAGAGCTCCTGCACCCAGCTGAAGAATCACATTAATTCCTATAACTCTATAATAACGTCTACTTTTTCTGAAGCTGAATTCAATCAAAAACTTCTTCATTTGCTGTCCAACATGTTTTGTAAGTGATAAACCTGATTTTTTCCCTTGTTCCCAAGTAACGACTAGGAAGGGATATGAGGCAGTAATGATGGGCAGAGCTGCACCAAATACCAACTGTTCTCCTGTGCTTCGTACCACTGCATGATCGTCACTTAGCTCTCCTGCAGTGATTGGTAAAGTCACATCATGTTTATAAGCAAATTTTGTGAAAATATGAGAAATGATCATATTAGGTGTGAGAAATAATGCCACAGTGAGGTTGTGGAGTCTACTGGCAGAGAATCTATACCAGGTGAATGTTGTGGCAGCTAGACCAAGGGCAGAGCTGATTCCGGCTATATTAGGAGCTTGTCTGAGTGTTGTCCTATAAAAAAGGAGATTTTTTTTTTTAAATTTCACAAGTATCTGCTAAGAAACTACATTTTCATATTATATGTATCTCATAATCGATCATAATCTTTTGCAGATATTAACACATCCACTCTGTTTCAATGATCGATCTTAAAAAAATGAGAGAAAGAGAGAGAGAGAGAGAGCAAAACATAATGATTAATGCAATTACCTGAATTACAGAATAATTATAGCTCTCCCCACCCCACCCCACCCCGAAGGGGTGAATTTTTTTAATTTAGACATGGCTTTGTCTGACCCTGTTCTTCCTGAACTGAATACAGTAGAAAAAATAACTTATATCGACTTACGTCTGGCTTTGGATCTTCATATAATTTTCATCTTCAACACTTTCATAAACATTCTGATGAGTTACCTCTCCTTGCCCTTCAGACATTTTCAGTCTTTCTTGTTTAGATTGAATGTTTTCCTTAAAAAAATTAAGAAGAACAATAATCATTTCAACAGTAACAATAAACAATGAACGCGTATATTAGAACTGCATTTATCTGTATATTGCTGCTTTATGAACCTAAATGTAGTCAAAACAAACTCATTTCGAATGTCCTCCAAACCCCTACTTTGAAACGTTTTTGTTTGCTTTTGTAAGGTTAAATGTAGAAAACACTTACCTTTTACATAGAGTTAAATAGTTCAACAGTTCTGAATACACATTTTGACCATGACAACAATTACATTTCACCTAAATCTGCAAGTTAAGCATGTTATGAGTTTTTCACGTTTCAGAGCATAAACTGGTTCTTCGTTGAAGTCTGAGAACCAGTTGACTTTGGGTAAAAAGAGTTCTTGGGAATCCCGACTCCAGGCGCGGATCCAGAAATTTTTTCCAGTCAAAAAAAAATTTAATCCCAGAAATTTCTTAACTTTTGACTAGCCAAAAAAAAAAAAAAAAAAAAAAAAAACACACCTAAATTCGCTCCAACGTGAAAAACCTATTTCGTGGGTGTGTGTGTGTGTGTGTGTGTGTGTGTGGGGGGGGGGGGGGTAGTCTATCACTTATCTTTCCTAAAATCTTTCACTTTTCATACCCATTTCACACATATTCACGTTTACCAGGAGGGTCAGCGTTTTCCAACGGGGGTCCAAGGTAACTTTTTTTCTTGCTTTAGTATATACATTTTTTAACCTTGTAAATTCCAAGGGGGGGGGGGGGGGGGGGGGGGGGGGGGGGGCTTTGAATTAACATTTCCTGGGGGGGGGGGGGGGCCAGGCCCCCCCCCCCCCCCCCCCGATCCGACTCAACATATCTGAGATGTACATGTAAACCAATAAATAGTAAATGGTGAACAGTGGTCACAAATACATGCTGTAATTATTACTGCAGTTTAGAGACATTGCAATGGTGGATCCAAATTTCAAAGGGAGGAGGATGTTGAGGCTTGAAAGGGGTGGGTGCAATGATAGAGGAATCCCAGAGATTTTTTTCCCTTCATAATATGGCTTTATATGGTGTTTTACCAAATATTTTAAAATAAATTGTTTTTTCTTTCTTTCTTGTTTCGGAAGAACATTAACATCGTAAGTGGTGACTGGAGCACGTACAGTTCAATTAGGGACAGTCTGACATAGGAACCTTACTCTTCTTCCTCTATACCAACGACCTACCTGAAAGGACACAGTCAGATACTTGCCTTTTTGCAGACGACTGACTCCGATGTAGACAAATTACAAACAATGCTGATGCAGATAATTAACAGAAAGACCTGGACTAGATGGGAGGAGGATTGGCAGGTGGCATTCCACCCAGAAAAATGTGTAGTTCAGTGTACAAATTACAAACAAGTGGAATCCCATCACTGCTAATTACAATACACACGGGTACCTGCTAGACTTGGTTGATTTCAGCAAATACCTTGTAGTTATAATCAGTAAAAATCTACGATGGGACAACCACATCAATAACATTGCACCCAAAGCCAACAAGACACTGGGCTTCATCAGACGGAACATGAGGGGGTGTCAAACGTCTACAAGATCTGCTGCATACCAAGGTCTAGTTCGACCGATCTTTGAATATACCTAAACAGCAGGGGCTCCCTGGAACTCCAAGCAAATCTAATAAAGAAGGAAGTTATGAATTTTAATTGAATATTTCGTAACTTCTTTCCTTACTATATTCACCGCCGAACTGGAGCTTGCGCCGTCCAATTATTGAGCGAGGGGCTGTTCGTCTAGGTAGATTTTCTGGTGAATATCAAACTGTTTTAACCATCTTTAAACAATACAATACAACTGAACAATACCACAATTATCAAAAATGTCAGTTTATTATCAGACCATGACTATTATAATGTCGTGCTATAGAATTGACTATGATCAACATGTCTATATGAACTGCTCAATGAGAGAAATCTTAATGTGGAAAAAAACATGCTTTATTCATTTTCACAAAGACAAATTCAATCCTTACATGGTAAAAAGAAAGAAACGATATGTCTCTCTTATTTTTTGTTGCTTACATAAATAAAACTTATATCCTTTTCAGTAATCTTCATTGCAGCGTTTTCGGTTTCGTTACGTGACAAAATAGCTTTTTTACTCATTTCGAGTTCATTCTCGATTTTTATTCCTCGTTTCCAATTCCTGTACACGCTTATCATTTCACACGTAAATGCCATGACAACAAAACCTAAAATGGCTGCGTAGAGAACGAATATCCCGGACAAACTGTCCGTCTTCAGTGTGGTGGCCTTTTTAGTGCTACCGATACATCTGTTCTTCCTCCACCATTTGGCTCTAAATTTAGCAATAATACCGCCCTCTAACATCCTCAACATACTGAAAAAGAATTATACAGGAGGGATATACTAGTATTCTGAAGGAGAAATCTTGTATCTAGTCAAAATACAGTAGACACTGGGTTACAGTGAACACTTCTAAGATGAGTTAATGCTTAAATCAAAGTGATTTTTATTCTCTTGAATTAAAATTAGTCGTCCTTTGAACTTTGAAGTAAACTAGTATATGTATGTTTTGCTGTATTTTATATAATTTTCACATAAGGTACCTTTTGGAATTAAAAAACCCAGGAGAATTCAAATGTCTAATCTGTTCACAAATTCGTTAAAAAGTACCTTATGTGAATATATTTATAGGGAGGCAGGGGGTATCATTTAGTGAGATTGCTAACTGTACCTCTAGTTATACCTATCTTCAATTCAACTGTAACTACATGTATCCCTATAAATATAATGGCAGTGTCCATGTTTTGCCATGGGAAACCCAAAATATGTGTGGTTCAAAGAGTACTAGCTCAGGCTTTGTTATATGTATCTATCATTTGCATGGAAGATCTCTTGCCCTCTCTATATATTGTTTTACGGTAATGTGTAAAGGGGAATAATTCGTGGTCTCCCATTAGGAGATAGCCATGCAAAAGCGGACTCTGAATAAACAACAGCTTTCCCCAAACTTGTGATTTATAATTTTGTACTTACTGATCATCAAAAGCCTTTTTGAAGGGCGCGTTTTCTGGAATGATAAAAGATAGACTAAGTTTGTTGAAGTATTCCTGGGCTATCTCGAGGGAACCACAGTCGTTATTGATCAGGTACTGGAACTGAGAGTAATCCCAGAGCAGAGCGTACTGTCCGGTTTTCACCAACTCGTATCCTTCCTCTACTGTTTTAATTTTCGGCATGTCCGACATCATGTTCCATATTCTCTTGTACAAGCCGTGAGTAGCTTCCTGGAATGGAATAATAAATTCAGCATATGATACCTTCTGGAAGTAAACGGAAAACAATTCCTGAGGAGTGGGAAAATAAATGTTAATTTTACTGCCTATCAATATTATATTTTATTATCGTAAAAATCTGCAACCTCACGTATTTGTACAACCACATCGTATTTATAAATGCATAGCTTACATTCTTCCTTTGACACAACCATATTTTACAAGTTAGGTAAAGAAATCGAATAACAATACATATGCCTGCATACAGTAGGGAAGATGTATGAAATATACGGAGAAAGCAAACAGTATTCAAGCTCAAAAGTCCGCTAAACAATACAAAACAGAAGCAGAGCAAACACGGACCTCCAGAACATTGAAGGTGGGATTAGGTGCCATGGAGGAGTATTCCCTGCCGACCGGTCACACCAGCCGTGTTCTCCTTGTCATAATCGGGCTATTCCCGGGGAAAAAATCTGTCAACAATTCGGTGTGTAAGTAAAAGCCTAACAATTAGTATGAAAAACGTCAGTGAGCATTTGACCTAATGATAAATTTTATTTGGTGACAAGGTCATTGTATCGACTTTCAGCAATTTTGTTCGTCAATAATTTATCTCGTTTTAGAAATTGTTCATACGAAGAGCATGTTCTAGCGTATCGAATCAACTGAGAGATATAAATCCCGTATATGCAGGTGTCAAAGATATATTGCTGCGTATGTAAGGGAAGTTGACGATCGAAAAATTAACCTCATCACATTTATCATAGTGCCTGTTTGTTAGATTATAACAACGTAAATCTTTCGTCTAAAATCTAACGTCTTTCTAAAATATCTAAATATGAAACAGATGTGTCAGACTTTTTTTATTTTAAGCTTACCGGGATATATCTTATCGATATAATAACCATTCTTAATTGACAATACATGTACGTCGTCGATCTATCTAAATATCGAGTTGAAAGATACAACAAGTGTTTTCTTCTTAGATTTTGGACAAATTCTGCTTCATATGAATACGAAAATAGGTCTGCTTATAACGGGGCGCAATTGGTACCTATGGGAATTTCAATAATTTGTTGGAAGACCTGGTCCCCCAAAACTACATAGAAATTGACAATCAGAAACTAAAGCATCATTTTAGACTTCAGAGTACTACTGTGTAAAATCAGAATGTATTTTAACAAAATAAATTTGCAAATGACCAAAGACGAGGTAAGTAATAACATATAACAGGCAATTTGAGCAAAGGTAATTCACCTTGAACATTGCATGGTGATTCGTCTCCTGAACTAAAAGTGGTTTATAAATTGTTTGTGAAGCCAGCTCCTCAAGGTTCTTTACTGGTGGTTTTGCCAAAGATATTGTCAAAAATGCCGCCAAATTAGCCGTGTACGACGCCGTTATGAGTATAGTAAACACCCACCAAAATCCAAGAATGATCCGTCCGGATTCAAAAGTTGGACGTGTTCCATCATCTATAAAAATTTGAAATATATATATTTTGAGGACACATCTATTATGTTTCCATTTCTATTTGTTTTCTAAGTGATAACTCTTTGAAAGTTTGTTGAGTTGATTTCTTGATAATTCTACTGGAATGAAAATTTCGCCAAGCGAAAAGTCAGGAGCCAAGGAGGCCTATGTAGATCTATTGCGTCTGTCTTTGTATTTGACATCAGTGGGTGGGTCTATTGAAATTGACATGGGATGCTTCATGTAATTTAAATATATCAGAACATTTTTTAAAAATCTAAATTCACAATTTTATTTCACAACGAAATGGAAATACAAGGAATCGCTGTCTAGTTTGTTGAGTATGCCAGGGAATAATTTATGCATAACAAGCTTCGCCAAGTATACCCAAGTATAGTATGAATGTTTGAAATCAAAATCTTCGTTAAAAAAACTCGACGAGAAATTATGAGCCGTTTTGATCACTTAGTTTTTGCATTCAAGTTGTCATTTGGAATGTGTGTGTGGGTGTGTCTGTGTGTGTGTGTGTACTTGGTGAACTAGAATTTTACCTTGTCCATAAACTGTTCCAACAATGAGCCAAAAATTGCTGCTCAGTGGTAAATCACGTGGACTTGATTGTGGACTGAACTTAGCAATGAAATACAGTATGTATGACGTCATCACCGTGGCTACAATAATGCCCAACCATGACGTGTAGTCAAGAGGGAGAAATATCCTGAAAAATTTGTCTGCTTTGTTTTCCACTTTCTTCATTAATATTCCAACGCCATCCTCTTGAAAAGGTATCACATAGTCTATAACTCGATCACGCTTAGCGGTTAAGGCAAATGGGGCTACTCCAATATCAACTTCCTGTGAACAAAATCTACTTTTCATGGTCATGTTTCATTACTATCTCAGCTACCTTTAAAACAAGCTAAAATGAGATATAATTGGTGCTTGATTAACAAGATATAGGGTGCTATTTTATTTGTTATACCCCTCTCATAACCATGCCCACCATGCCAGTTGCGTTTAACCCATCATCTGTGGGATTTCCATATAAACCGTCAATGGCATCGACTGACTGGTATCTACAAATACGGTTTTTCAGCTATATACAGATTATTAAACATATGGAAAAAATTGATTTCTGGACAGTTCATAAATAAGCAATAAAGAATTCTATGGATTGATGTTACTATTGGCCAATACCTGAAATTGAAAGTTTCTGCAAAGTCTCTCAGTATGTCGTAACAAAAGCCATAATAATAGGAACTTCCGTTGTTATTCATACCTTTCATCACATGTGGAACACTCTAGAACAGAAACTCCAGTCTTTAAAATGGTAAAACGCGAAGAATTACTATTAAAGCAAACCCCGTAAGCCTTGACAAAGTTGAAATTTGATACTTATTTTATTTACCCTGACAGATGCAACTTTTAGCACTCTATTTTCAAAGTCCCTGAAGTTGTTTGAATATAGTCCACCATAACGAGTAATCAGACCATTTCCAACCGTAAACTTAGCAACTTCCTCGAACTTCAACTTTGCCTTGCTTGAACTATGTACATGTATCGCCATCTTAATATTCGATATCAATTGATGATATTCTCCAATTGATGTTACATCTCTTGTCTAAAAAAAAACAGCAACATCATAAAGTCATTTTAAACATTTCGACTTTAGTTGTGCGAATAGTGAAAAGGAGCTCGCGAATGAACGTGGTCGAAGTATACTGGATTCGGTTTTTGACCCAATACCGTGTCAAACCTAAGATGTTCAATACAATCGCATCATCTCGGGTCTTTCCGTCGGAGGTCGGAAAAATCGGAAAAACAACCTTGAATGTAGTATTAACATTACCGGATGTTAAAAATTTATACATTTCCTGTTCATTCAAATATAGGATAGCCGGAGTTAGAAGTCCCTTCTAGAGTATATTTTAAGTAATATCATTACATTGAATAAAGTTTAACTCCACATTCGACAGATTAAAGGTCTCCATGCATTGATTTCATAAATCGTGAAAAGGGAGGGTTGTCATGGCGTCTACCTTATACATTCGAGGTCGTTTTTCCGCTAGTCGGAAAGGCCCGAGAAGTTGCGATTGATGTTCAATATACACTCGATTACGACTGTTCCTTCGCATATAGCGCCCGACATTAAAAAGTTACAGGACTTTCGGATGACACCTAAACAGCTAAAATTGAGATCCTGGTCACACTAGTTTAGGCATAGACTTACTTCACTACTTAAATCAAATAGGCATTGGAATGATCATGAACATTCGCTGCTCAAAAAAATGTCCCAATGTACCGAAGTAGTTTTATTTTTTCTTTAATATTTGCTTTTACGGGAATTAACGTTGACGAAGAAACACACATACTAACCTGAGTATTCAGGTTAAGTATTTTTTCTCTGCAATAGCTGCAACTGTTGATTCCCGAATTAACGACAAAGAAAGACAATCATTTTATTGCTTACATTAATAAGTTTTCAAATTAAGCTCTAGACCTAGTAAGATAATATTGTTTTAACATTTAAGGGGGCCGACTATAGTTTTATTGTGTGAAAACTCCAATAGCGAAACTCTTCATTTTTATACCATATATAACTTACATTAACTTTAGTGTACATGCAAAATCTGACCAGGTATTTTTGAGGGACCGTCTCAAAATAAGAGCACTTTAAAGCAAATTATTCAAATACTACAATAGACATTTTGTTCATACTATAATATTTGATGCCTAATACAATACATTTGTATTGTCTTGTTACTCTCAAATAAAAAATTAGCAAATTTTACTATTTATTTTAGTTACAAAATATGACGTATTATAAAAATATTGGAGATAAGATTTCTATTATGTTTATTACAATAATAGTTTTATTACCCCTTTCTTTAAGAGCTACAGATTATCATAACGTCAAAAACACACTGCAACGACGTCAACCTAGCTATCAATTGCAAAATCGGTTTAAAAATAAGTTATATCAAATTGTAATTACATGTTTATACCTATAATTTCTTAATTTTGTTTAATTTTAATAAATAAGCAAAAAAAGTTTGAAATACGCTTGTGATGCGCGAAATATTGCAATGGAAACTGCACGTTGCATTGTAGGAAAAGCATACTGCATAAGATACTAGTAAACGCTTGTGCTTGAAAATTGGTTCTAACCGGCGTTTACTGATTAATGAAAGGAGTGTTTTTCATGGACATAAAGAATAAAATCTTCAGCAGGTGTAAATATTAATAGTTTACTTACAAACAAACATGACTGAGACAAATTTTTAGTTTGAGACTCTTCAATTCCATCCCGGTATGCCTTGGATATTACAGCAATTAACTCCTAAAAGTGAAGCGGGATCCAATTTATTTAATTAAGTCATTCATTTAACTAAGTAACTTCAGACTCTTCAATTTCATTACATTCAAATATGAAAATCAGAGAAAAAAGTAAATCAAATTTGGTGTAAATTATTTGAAATATTGACATGAACATTTTATTTATAAGCCGAATATATTCAAAACCGTCTACATGAGAAGAAGAAAACACTTGCCGTCGCCTTCAACTCGAAATTAAGATATATCGACAATGTATATCATTCTACAAAAGTTACGTACATATGTCAACTATATATACGAAATATAGTATATTTGAAATAAAAGATACAATATTACAGGATCTGACACACTTGGTTCAATATAATTTTCTTGGATATTTTATTAGAAAAAGACGTTAATGGTAACCTAACAATAAAACTTTATGATAAACGTGATGTCAACCTCAGTGTTTTTATCCCCAATTTACCTTACTCCCTTATCACAGTTGATTCGATACGCAAGAGAATGCTGTACGCTCTATCACTTTTTTTTAAACGAGCAAACCATTAACAAATACATTGATGAAACAAGAATATCAAAAGCCTCGTTTGAAGTCAGCATTTTGAAAGTTATATGGTCAATACAATGACATTGTCAACAAATACAATCTTTCGTTGTTTCAAATGCCGACTGACTTTTTGCATGCTAATGGTTAGGCCATTATTTATACCCTGACATTTCTACGATTACCCAAACTCGACATGGAGCACATGGCGAATGTGCCCAGTCAATAGAGGATGCTTTACCTCTCATGGCACCTGATCCCTCATCTAATGTTTTTGGAGATGCTGTTTGCTCTTTTCCCGATGTGTATTGTTTCAATGGACTTTTAGCTTGGATACTGTTCGTTATCTCCCTATTTTATTTAAAGTAATCATTAAGTATTTTGATATCAATATAATGCTCACTTGACCTCGGTTAAAATACAAATACATCATAGGTCTCAAGCAGATGAACCCATTGTAAAAAAAAAAATATAAACATGACCAATCCATCGCAGACCCTTATTATCGTACCAAAGCAAGACAGATGGACAGACAGACAAGTGAACTGTCACTTTTACTGGAAGGGCTTAAAAATCGAATTTGAACGGAAATTATTAAACACCATTAAACAGTCTATATATAAGTTTCGGGGTATATAGTTTTTGTCGTGTCCGTACATCTGTCTGTCTAGCTGTCTGTCTGTCTCTCTATCTGTCTGTTTGTCCGCAAATTCTTTAACCTTGCCCATAACTTTTGATTTAGTGGAGCTATGATATTCGCATTTCACATATGTATTTCTTTTGACAAGACCTTTCTTTGGGTACCACCAAATTTGACCTTGACCTTCGAGTTTGACCCACTTTTACACAAAAATTTTGAATTTTACTTTGTCCATATCTTTCGAACAGTAGATACCAGGGCATTTATACTTAAAATATGTATTTTTATGGAAAGACCTTTCATTGGATACCAACAACCTTGACCTTTTGACCTTAACCTTGGAGATTTCTGTACTTACGAAAAAACTTTAATCTTGACCATAACTTTTGAAGGGTTAGGGCTAGGGCTCTCATTCTTAAAATATGTAATCCTTGTGACAAGACCTTTCATTGGATATCAAGAACCTTGACCCTTTGACCTTGACCTTGGAGTCTGACATACTTTTTACAAACTTTAACCTTGGTCATAACTTTTGAACGGTAAGGGCCAGCACTTTCATACTTCCAATATGTAATCATTGAGACAAGGCCTTTCTTTAGAAACCAACAACCTTGACCCTTTGACCTTGACCCTAGAGTTTGTCCTACCTTTAAAAATGTTAAACTTGGTCATAACCCTTGAACAGGTGGTGCTAGGGTTTTATATTTTTTTACATTTGTATTTCTTGTGAAAAGGGCTTACTTTAGGTACCAACATATTTGATCTGCATTTTAGAAAACTTAACCTTTGCTATGTTGCCATACGGGGGCATCAGTGTTTCACAAACACATCTTGTTTTCTATTTTATAGATAGAAAATACTGAATGATTTAGTATAATCATTAACGTATGTATCTTACTTTGTATTTTTCATCCTGAAGTCCCATCCTAAGCGTGATAACATACCCTCGATGCAATGACCTGAATATCGTATTGTTTTGCAGCAATTCTGGGTCCAAATTCAGAATCCATTGATATCTTGTGTTGAACATATGTAAAGATATTGCCTGAAAGAAATGGTCATATTAAGATTTTAACCCTTATTCAAGGCGAGTTTGTTTTTAAATAACAAATGATGCAACAGTCCAAGCCTTTCCTGAATACTAGTTATTAAAATTTTGTCAGTCATATAACATCATCAGTGAAAGTAAAAAAAATTGATTCTGAAAATATTTACCCTGTATTTTTTGAAACTTTCGTTTTAATAATCTTATTTAGCAATTAGTTTGTCTCGTCGAAGTGTTGCTGTTTGATATATTCAAATTAATATCTATTTTATATTTCCATTCATTCCGGAAAAACAGAATTTTGAACTTATTAAGATGGATATATTCATCATCAATCCAATATACATTTATTGTAAATAGCATATCTACAACTAATCATAAGAATTGATTTTTAAATAATTAATGATGAAGTACCAGTACCCAGTATTACCAAATAAACTCTCAGGAGGAAAACGATCTTTGGGATATATCATCAATCAATTAACTGAAATAATTATATTGACTGTTTGTGGTTAATATTTTAAAACTGCATCGAACAAAAGTTTTATTGGAGTGATCTGGTACAACAAGATTATATCCGGTCAGTGACACGGACAGAATACCTGGTATAAACTCTAAACGACAAGCTTATTTCATTCCTCTCATTACTATTATAAATTTTATCTCATATGATCATGATTTTTGAAAAGATGTCATATTAAATATTGAAATGCACACAAATTCAGAATACCTGGCAGGGCAAAATTTAATAGAATTGACCTTTCAATTGCCTGGATAAGGAGTTATGATTATTTACTATAGTAAGAGTTATTGTTTTCTTATCAGAGGGTCGATAAACCTTAAGCATTGACAGTAAAATGACCTAAAACAATTCCACTTTATTAAGAAAACCAATTGTCGTACTTCGACTATTATGTCCACTGTTTGTGCCGGGTGGGTTACAAGACAAACATGTTCAAAACTGTCCTGGTGTTTTATCATTGTCAGGAGAGTTCTGCGGTTGTCTTCTTTTGCTATGCAAATGTATTTTGAAGAAATATTTAACAAACTAAGCCTTCGTAACATATCTTGTACGCAGTCGTCATCTGGAATTAATATTTAAAAAAAATTAAACAGATACAATTAAAATGAACATGACGTATTTTTTAATCATATTTAACTTTTTTTAATGCTAAAATTTTATTAATAGCTTCGCTTTCCAAATGAAATACGTGAATGTACCACTGGAAGTTATTTGATAGAAAAAAAATTGATAGAGATTTATTTTGCGATATAAATAGTAATGAAACGATAACGTTACCATAAAAATCGTCATATAATAAAAGAAAGTTCTTCCATTCTTGTTTCATCACTATGGAAACAATTGCTTCATTTCGAATCCAGCAGTCAAATGGTACAATTAAGGACGATAGAAATAATTGCTTCTTCGTGATTATGCTTATTGGTATGTTCAAAGAGGTCTCTTGCCATCGCAAAGCCAATCCAACTTCTGGGGACGTGAAAGCTACGAGTCCAAGAAAACACTGTGCTGACAACTCGCTAACTAATAAAAAGCATAAAAGGAAAAATACTGATATTAATTGCGCAGTATTTGAAAGTATGCTAATTAGGATTTCAGTCAATTTTTAAAATTTTTTTATTGTTACCTTTTTGAGTAAATTCAAAAATGTCATTTCCTTGAATGATGTAAGACTTATACTCTGTGTTGTTCATCTTCTTAAACCCAGTTTCTAAATCTATCTGTTCTAATCCATCCTGATAGAGAAAACCTGAAAATGAAGTAAACAAGAATGTATATATTGTAAAAGAGGCAAGTGATAGTATGATATAACCTTAAACAAGTTTCTTGGCGCAAACTTGCAATTTGCTATTATTAATTTTAATCATAATCACAAGTAAACCGATTCTTTTGTGATCCTCTTCAAAGATTCTTAGAGTTCTTTAGAAAAACGAAACACTGTTTCACTGTGTCCCGTATTTCCTGATTATGTCATTTAAAACATCTTTTAAAAAGTTGTATTTTAGAAAATTGATTCGTCATCACAAGATTTCAAAAAAGCAAAATCAGTTTATAAATCTAGATATGAATTTTGAAGCTTGGTTGTTAGATTTTCATTAACGTCTTTTTCAAGAAAAATATCCAAATATGGAACAGATGTGTCAGACTTTGTGGCATCTTTTGTTTCAAGCCCACCGGGATATATCGACATAAGAATGGAAATAACCATTGTTAAATGACAATGCGTCGTCGGTATGCGAGTATCTAAATGTCGAGTTGAAGGACTTAGCAAGTGTTTTCTTCTTTTCACGTGATTTCGCGCAAATTCTGCTTCCCATGAATATAAAAATAACTATGCTAATAACGGGACGCAATATTCCAATAGATTTTTGGAAGACTTGGTCTTCAAAACCCACTCAGATATTGTCAATCAGAAACTCAAACATCTTTTTAATATCAATTTCAGGGTACTTTTGTGTATAATCAGAATTTTTAATGTTATTTAACAAAAAAAAAAAAATTCCAATTGACCAATGACAAGGTTTTTAAATGTACTGATTCCATTTTTATTGAAAAAGCAGCTGTCATTCATATCAAAAAGCCTTGACTTTAATTTATAATGGGGAATTGTGAATAAAAGTCATAAGTTTTAATGCTATTAATTTTGTTAAAATTTTGTGATTTCAAAATTTTCAAAAGTTTAATTCATTTGAATTCATTTGGACAGCGTGTTCTTGTCTAAATTTTTAAAGAATGTTATAATATTTGCTATATGGCTGTACATAAATAAAATCTATTTTGTTTTTATTCGACGCATTTTATTATCTATCTGGGATAGGTGCTTATAACATTTTTTTTTATAGAAAATATACAAGTAGAAGTAGGTAGCTCAAAAATTAACAGGACTTAGGAAAATTAATCACCAAATGCACTGTATTTAGAATGGGTTTGAAAACCATAAAATCTGGTAAGAGGAGAGAAAGACAAAAAACTTTTGTTGCACTTCGAAATAATGTATGATATAGCTCTCCGCTTGCAAAAATGGTCCTACCTTTTATGCTACCAATTTATGGTTACATTCTAAGAAATATTGATAATAATATAAATGTTGTTATACCCCAGTCAAGAACAGCCTCATATACCAACCGTTTTCTACACTCAACTATAAAGGATTCTTTTTCTCTTAATTCTTTCGTAATAATTTTTTCATCTATACATTATCAGTTTCAGATTGGTAAAAAGCAGTTAGAATGCAGACTATGATTACTATAAATACATAATTCACACCTATTGTTCTAGATGTAAATATCAAATGTGTGTGTAAAACTGAAACACACCCAGCAAACTTAAACATACCATGTCTGATGACCAAATCAATTACTTAATTTGTTTTAGCATAAAAAATATTGTTTAATGAAAAATAATTAAATAACGTTCAAGAGCTGCAAAGTTTGGAGCCAGCTATACAATTAACAAAAAAAATCTTTTCGGGGCTCCTTGAAAGATGGCTTATATATGAATTCTGTTTGAAAATTATGAGCTAGGAAATTATGAATAGGAATTTAATACCTAAACCTGTATATCAAAACCTTGTAAACTAAATTTATTTTCATTCATAATTTTATGATAATGTATACAATTTAGTTTTTCAGTCTGGTAATCTTATTTGCAATAAGCATGTAATCTTAAAATTTAAATTATAAAAGCAGGAATTAAAAAAGAATATGAATATATTTGGTAAAAATAAGAAAAAAATGTCTTATTCAGTAACTTACCTATTCTGTACATTCCCATGGTTTTATAAAATAACGATGAATACACAAAAACATAGCACAAAGCTTTATCCATCTTTTCAGATGATTCAATGTCAAACCAGACCTTGTGTACCGGTATTGAATTCCGCTACTCACTAGGGACGACCATTAGATAAAATACGTCAATATCAGCAAATCCTTACATTACAATCCTCGTTAAAATGAAAAGAACTAAGGAAATAAACTTAATACATATATCATTTTTTTTTTAAATTGACTTTTTTCATGTAACACTTTTTAAAAAATTTATTTTTAATTGCGAAAATGTCTTGAATAGCTGCAATTCCTAAAATTAATTAAAAGCACCCCTTTTAAACAGAATTTTTCAGAACAAAATACGAGAATAGGATTTATAGGTATCCACGCTTTAGAAGAAAATCAAATGATATTTATACTCAAATTGTTTCCTTTAATCATTTTATAATGCATGGTGTATAAAGTAATTCCAATCATTGAAAGACATCAAAAATGACTTCTAATTTCATATCTTAAAATACTTTTATGGGGTATAGATATCAATTTTCTAAAAATTTCAAAGAACATTGAATCACCGTTCGGCAGGGGATGCTCACTCTTCCATGCCACCTGATCCAACCTCTAATGATTTGGAGGTCCGTGTTTGCTCTGCTCCAAATTTGTATTGAACTTTTGAGCTTGCATATTGTTCGTTATCTCCATATGTTTCATTGAGACGCATAGAATTAACTTTGTTGCATGAAAAGATTTCTATTTCAAGCTTCATTCTGATACTTTTTGAATTAAAATTAAAGTGTCATTTCTGGCTGAAGATCGGATATCCTTAAGATAATAAAATATTAATAATATCCGAAAAGAACAGTTGATTGTTGTTTACAGTGACTACTTGACAAAAACCAATAAAAAAAGTAATCCGGGTAATCCAGCAGTCAAATGGTACAATTTATGAAGATAGAAATAAATGCTTCTTGGTGAATTGCTCAGTGGTATGTTCATAGAATTTGCTTGCTATAGCAAATCCATTCGAATCTCTAGGGATGTGAAAACTATGAGTCTGTCATGTTCTATATTCTGTATTTACTCCTACCCGGTAAATCAAGACAGAACATGGCAAGTCCAAGAAAAAAGTTATCCTGACAAGGAAAGGACTAATAAAAAGATTGCAATGAAAAAACAGAATTATATATTAATTGCACAATAACCAAAAGTGATCATCAGAGTCCAAATTCCAGTAATTTAATTTTCTTTCTTTCATAACTTATTCCTATATTTCAACTAACTTCAACATTTTATAAATATATATTTTATAACTACTCAGTATTATGGATTCTGTTAAAGATTATGTCAGGCGATGGGAAAAAAGATTGTGACACTTTGTTAGAACAGATGTAAAGTACCAGAGGCATGTTTTTATCTCACATTATACGTGAAAATAAAAACAATCTATCCTTCTGTCTTCAATAATTCAGAAGTGAAGAAATAATTAGATCACATGATCGGTAAACACTAGACGGTGGACCCAATGTACCTTCATCTAGCGAAGATGATGTACCTCTAATGATTCCTAAACTTCATAAAAATCCTTACAAAGATACATACCAGGTAGTTCCAGTAAATGTTCTACAAAGCCTCTTTCTTTTCTTAATTTTTCAACACTTTATAATACAACAATTTCTCACAACAAAGTAATGTCGACGACATATTATCAATTAACAATAGTTACATCCATTCGTAAGTCGACTCAATATATCCCAGTAAGATTGAAATAAAATATACCAAAGGTTCTGATAAATACTGTTTCATATCTGGATATTATTCTAGAAAGAAAACGCTACTGGCAACCTAACAACACTTTTTTTTTTAAAATTTGATGACTGTAATTTTTCAATAGTCAACTTCCCTTTCTTATTTAGCAATATAACTTAATCACCTGGATGAAGAGTTTATGTCTTCAAGCTGATTAGATACACGAGAGCATGTTCAGCTTACGAGGCAAGTTATTGACAAACATGTTGATGACAAGTCTCGGTTAAAGTCTTCATTTCGAAAGTTCCATGGTCGATACAATGACCTTGTCAGCAAAAACAATCTCTCATTACATCGATTGCTGACTGACATTATTTATACTAATTATAAGACCATTGATAATATTTACACTCTGAAATGTCTACAGATACTTTTTCCGATCATGACAAGAAGCACACGGTTGATGCGACTGGTTGGTAGGGGTTGCTTACTCGTCCGTGGCACCTGATTCCACCTTTTATGTTTTTAGAGGTTAATTATTGTTTCCTCTGCTCCTGATTTGTTGATAATGAAGGTTATCATTCTGCTGCTACTCTATTCAAAACCGGATTGTATGTAGACGGACATCCCGATTACTACATACCCTCCCGCTTTTCAAGCGGGGGGTATTATTATAGTGCCTCATTACGTTTCAAGACAACTAGATATGGCACGCCAAATTCACAAAAATGAGATAATCATAGTTTCACAATTGATAAACTAGGTTTATCGACTGTAAACTATAGTTTACATACCGTAAACTATAGTTAACGATTCGTTAAGTATAGTTTTCATCTGTAAAACTATATTTAACGGTTGTAAACAATAGTTTACGAATGATAATCTAAGTTTATCTGTCTGTAATAAGCGTTAACAATAGATTTTGTTGATAAACATAGATTCACGTGTGTAAACTATAGTTTACAATCGTAAACTATAGTTAAGAGTTGTTAATCATAGTTTCACAAATCGTGAAACTATATTTATCAGATCGTTAACTATAGTTAACGGTTTGTAAACTATAGTTTACAAATATGAAACTGTATTTATCAGATAATCTATGTTTTGCAATCGCAAATGATTGTTTTCGGTGTTAAGTATAGTTTACGGTTGTGAAACATAGATTATCGCGTTAACTATGGTTTACAGATGTGAAATATAGATTAACGTTGTTAACTATAGTTTACGGTTTGTAAACTATAGTTTACAACCGATAAACCTAGTTTATCGATCGTGAAACTATGATTATCTCATTTTTGTGAATTTGGCGTGCCATAACTAGATGTCACTTTCATATACATGTATACATACGTTCGTATAGAATATTTCATGTAATAAATTCAGATTGAAATGAAACTGGGTTCAGTGTTCATTTGTGTCTTGGTCATGCCACTTATTAAAGCTTTCAATAAATGAAATGATTAAAAATAATGAAATATTTAAAATATCTTAAGATCATTGCTTGCAGTGACTGTTAATCAAACAGAAAAAAAATCTTCATGACTATTAAGTGTTGCTTGATGATTCAAATATGTTTTTTAATAAAATGTTTGGTCTACCTTTTTTATACCCTGTTTATCAGAAGTTTTGCTACAAATATCAAACAACCATTACAAGCCACAATATTCGTTTTTACAGGGATACAGGGAAAAGACGATCAAAGACTTTTTTTTTTAATTTCAGTTTAGTTAATTGTAAATACACTGTAATTAAGTGGCATAAAGTTGAAATAACCTAAGCAAAAAAGCCCCCTTAAAAATATTTTAAGAAGATTGTCTTCAACATATTAAGCGAAAACTATTTTTTCGTGGTTGTCAGAAAGTCCCCAGAAGCATTATTGAACACCATCACAGGAGTCTGAAGTTTTTATCTTAAAAAAAAAAAAAAAAAAAAAAAAAAAAAAAAAAATTAAAATAAAACGTGTTTTTTTTTTCTAGGAAAAAAAACAGCCAACTGCTTACTGCCACCCTCAACTAAAATAAAACGTGTTTTTTTTCTAGTTGAGGTTTTATCTGATATAATATTCAATCTATGCGTTTATTTTTTCATTTGTTTTCCTATTTGAATCTTTTTTTTTTTAAAGAAGCCCCCTTTTTTATTTTTTTTTTTTGAAAATAAATTTACGTTTTCCATTGTATTCTATAGTTAAAAATTTCCTCAAATTAAATATATCAAAAATGTTTCAGTGAATGACAGGTGGTTTGTTTGCATGCATAGAAGTAAATATTATTTAATTTTGCAATTGGTCTATTGATATTTATTTTGAACTGTTTATTTCATATCAGTTGGCTGACAGTTTTTTTTCTTCTTTTACGATAAAAACTTCAGTAAATTAATTTGTGAATGGCTGTTTGTTTGCAACGAAGTATATTGATTTTGCAATTAGTCTATTGATTTTATTTTGAACTGTTTATTTTATATCTCGACAGTTTTTTTGTAAATTAATTTGCTGCAGGTAACATTGAATAGGAATCATCTCTAGGAGTGCTGATTCGAATAATCACATAATATGACTGTCTATCTTATGTGCTTTCTTCTCTGGTTTCTGACTAGATGAATTATTCAAAGTATATCTGCTTATATGTCTTATATATTTAGGTGCAAGAGATATAAAATATCATATTCTTCTTTCCTCGTCACAATTATACAACTTTAAATAGAAATGGTAAACTGCGTTTGAAAAGTAGCAGGGACTATATTTTTGGCGGAATGGTGGCATATGAAAATATCTTCTTTTCTGCCTCTCAAAATTATTATAGAACATTGAATTTAGTTATAATTTTTACACAATCAAAGACTTGACGAAATATTCAAATGTTAGTTAAATTAATAATAAAGGACTAAAGTTTCAAAATAAATCAAAAAAATAAGTTTTTTCAAACAAACTAGAACTATGTTGGCTTTTAAATGCTTCAAATCTAATTACAGATTTGAGCCAAATATCTGTAAAGAGTGTCATTTCTCTCTTATTAAACGATCAAAACTTTTTTTTTTGTATCATTTTGTACCTTTATGTGACAACTTTACTATATGTGAAAATGAGAAAAATTTAAATATAGAAAGCATCTAAAAATAATTAATATATCCTGAAAATTTAAGAAAAGTAGAGAAAATTCGGATTAGCAAATATTCATTTTAGTTAAATTATCTATGTCAATTTGGTAACATCATCTTATAGGCCCTGCATGGTAGTATCTTTTTATGCGAAAAGAAAAACATTTATTCTTTTGAAATACAAGTAGGGATCGCATGATTGGAAACTTACAGTAATTTTTTCTTCTTAATGTCCAGGAAAAAGGTAATGACCTTAACCTGACCTTGCCTCTAATATAAAAAGTCAAATTTAATCTCAGTGATACCATGACTTAGTGATATTGTCCTCTTGATTCTGTGAAAATTTTATTAATATTTAAATACAAGAAATGTGAGAAGAATCCCACCTTAATAGGACTGTAAATATTTAAGAAAACGATATATTTAATAAATGCTAGAATATAGTGAACATGATGAAAATAATGTAATGTGATTTTGGTGTCTCTTTGGGGAAAACTATAATTTCAATCATTGTAGGAAAATTTCAGTTATTTTTTCCATAACATTTGCAACATTTGTCAAACTGGCTTAAGTACCTTTTCTCATGTTGATAAGGTTCTTAAGTCGTGGAAATGATGTTTAACTATAAAATCCAGCATATAAAGAAAATGGAACATATTTAGCTTGTTTCATAAGTAATTGAAGGCTTTGAAAAAATGAAACATATTTGTTTCCATTAATATTCATATATCTTGTGAACAACTTGTCATGATACACATTATCTGTACATCCATTCAAAGTTTGATAAAACTAGGAGTCATAAACCATGTTGAACAATATTTTCGATGCATCAGAAGTCAAAAAGAAAATTCCTCTAACAAAGGGACAATTTGATTAATAATCCACCACAACAAGTGGTATTTCCTTGACAACTTTCGGTGACTGTACTTTGTTCCGCGTATATTTCCTGCCTTGAATCAACAGAAGTTCTACGAGACAACAAATGACTGACATCAATATAAATCCACTATACACTATAAATATTCCACTTGTACTTTCAAACGTCAGTTCTGTGGCAGAAGTGGAAGTATCACAAGTATACTTTGGCCACCACTTGGACTTGTATTTATCCACTATTCCTCCTTCAACCATTTTAAGCATGCTACAAGGAAAGAATGGCAAACAATATATATAAATGATTCTAGTTTTTAAATCTTCATGAAAAAAAAATTGTGATAATGAAACATTTTTATCATTCAAGAATTTCATGTGTAAAAAAAATCTGCATTTTTTCAGAAGTTTTAGTTTTACTGTGTAGATATTCACGTGTAAAAAAAATCTGCATTTTAGTTTTACTGTGTAGATATTCACGTGTAAAAAAAATCTGCATTTTTCAGAAGTTTTAGTTTTACTGTTTTTCTCTTATTCCTGCTTTTATTTCACTTTGAGGTAATCAATTTGAATTTTTCACAATTAGAGATAAAAATTATAAAATCAGAATTCTTTAATAATAATAATATTTTCTTAAACCAAGGCAAATTGGATAATGACTTTAACCAGATGATCTTGGTTTTTGCCCAAATTAGCTAAAGGTAACCTTTCAAATATTGGCAATCCATGTTTCTCTATTAAATGTAAGGAACATTTTGTTAAAAGGAACTGGAAAAAAGTAAGCACATAAGCAAGTAAAACCCAACCCCTCCAAGACATAACGAATCATAAGAAAACAAACAAAATTTTTAAAAATCCCCCAAAATGCCCCCATTTTTCGCTAAAGGGGTAAAATAAATCCTGTTTATTGTCGGACACATTACTGATAATTGAAGGCGTCCTTGAATTCTGCATCCTTCCTGATAACGAACGATAACTCTGCTTTATGGAATGTCTCTTCAGCCACTTCCAGATGTTTGCAATCTAACATGGCTTTATACTTGACTTCGGACTCGTCTGTCAGATAAGCATATTTTCCTTCCAGTATCATTTCGTACGCCTCCACTGATTCCGTTATTTTCGGCATACCAGCCATCATTTCCCATATCTTCTTATACAGTCCTCCCTTGGCATTCTAAACGCAGAATACAAAGCAACGTTGTCAGAATGTTACACTAATAATTATATGACATTCTGGTGCAATTCATTTAACTTCTTTTTAAGTACATTCACTAAGTAATGAAGAATATTTTAAAGTATCATTTTATTCAGTTGTATAGGAGGAGCTGCGGATAAGAGATGGGTGCCCTTCAATGTTATAAAAAGAAATTCAAAGAATGACAGTCTCCATGTTTTGCAATGGAAAATCATGCAAAACTATTTCTGTGAAAGTCTCATTAAATTTCATTCAGTGGTATAAGAGGGATTGTGGATAAGAGATGGGTAACCCAAAGCATAACAGATCACTATATACCCTCCCATTTTTTCAATCGAGGGTATAATGAAACAATGTAAGGTATTAATTATGAATTAAAAATATATATATATACAGTGTATCCATTTATAGAATTCAGTGGATTTGTAGCAGTATATTTTTGAATTAATTACCTGGAATAAAGCATAAAGATTTGTTCCATCTTTGACTAACGGCTTGTACACTGTCTGTGATGAGAGTTCCTCCAGGTTTTTCACTGGTGCCTTGGCCAGGGATACCGTGAGGAAAGCGGCAAGGTTAGCCGTGTACAGAGACATTACTATTATTGTAAATATCCACCAGATTCCAAGAACTATTCTACCGGAGGCAGATGTTGGCGTTTGGTCTTCACCTTCAATAAAGGTAATCCGTTAAACATACATCCTGTTAGTATCTTTTTATAACGATACTGTTTTCCAATCACTGTAAATAAATTAATATTTACCTTGATGAAGGAACGTGGAGAATGCTAACCAGAAGCTTCTCAGAACACTCTCCTTTATCCCGCTATCAAAAGGACTAAGCTTTGCAATGAGAGAAAGTACAATCCCAGCAACAAAGACTGCCACCCCTGAAGCAAGCCAAGAATCACTTCCGAGAGGACTATACACTCGGAACATTTTTCCAGCTTTATCGTCAACTTTCCTCATTATTATTCCGATTCCCTCCTCTTGGTAAGGATATAGGAAGTCTACGACGGCTTTTCTCTCAACAGTTATTGTGATTCCACCTACCGCTATGTCAGCCTCCTGATTTAAATAACAAGGGTGAGTATTAAGCATACTAGTATACCTTTGGTATTTTTTCTTCAACATCGGTTAGGATACTACTATGAAAAACATACACACTACAATTTCAGATAATTTAATTACGCAATCCTTGAGTACAAAGAAATGGATTAAATGTATCCAGGATAACTTACTCCCCTCATGACCATTCCAATCATTCCTGTCTTTTATCAAAAAACGATTACAATTACCATCCTCTGTTGGGTTTTTGAAAGCATTTAACAGAAAATTATATTTTTAGTAACCACGGCAACATCGTTCATCAAAATCAAAAACCGATAAAAGAACCAAGTGTCGTGGTGAAACTGTGTGCCTTATATTGAAATCATGAAGAATAGTCGTATTTTGAGATAAATTGGAATGCAAAGAAAAATCAAGTCAGGAGAAAGCCTTAACCAAGTATTTGTTACAAAAAAGTAGGTCCAACTTTATACCGAAAATTGAATTCTTTTGAGAACTCATTCAGAAGGTCGTAGGTGAATCCGTAGAAATGAAAACTTCCATTGCCCTCATCAACTCTCATTTGAAATGGTTCACCCTGCAATAGTAATTTGAGAATAATTTACTAATACATGTTGATAAGCATTGTAAATTGTCAATTCTTTTAATCAACCACAAATATAGCGCCATACCACTACAGAGACGACCGTTAGCGTCCTGTTGTCGAAGCCTTTAAATATGTTTCTGTACAGATTGTTGTCAGAGACGTTCAAACCACTGTCTGGAGTATATACACCAACTTCCTGCAATGGCATCCTTGAGCTCTTAACTGTACTGTAGACACGGAGTTCGGAATTTCCAAGAAAGTGGTCATCCTTTGACAATGAAGACAAAAAACTGTTTATCTGAAACTAAACAGCTTCAAAATACTGAACAATTAATTCAACATATCTAGATATCAATCTAAATTTTCGTTTCTTACTGAAGTCAGATACTGCAATAAAGCGTTGTCCTGTGATGCTGACTTATTTGAATTGCAGGTTTCTTTGGTCAAATTTAACCCATGATGAAAAGTTAATAGAGCCTCATAAAGTAGGGTATCTATTATCTGCAAAAAATACCCGAAAAGAAACCATAAAGGGGTATGTATGTATTTGTATTATGGTGCAGCACATAAAACAATGAAGTTAGAAGATAACTACCGGTATTTTCAATAGAATATTAATGTAAAACATTTTAATATATTTTTGGATTACAGTGCTGAATCTTTATATATAATTGATATAAGTGGATACCAAGCAGAAAAGTGTTAAGATCTAATAACAGTTTACTGATTACAGCTGGCTGATATAAATTATACCAGACTGAAAATTTTATTTTCAGTGAATTTAAGAAAAATATCCAAGCATACAAATATTCATTTTAAAATTAAGCCCATTTTCTTCCGAAAGAAATTTCCAAATGTGACCCATACATTACTTTTGAATAAAACTACAAAAGCTCATTCCCAAAACATATTCCATTTCAACCTGTTTTTCATGTATTTCTAAGCAATCGTAATGATTACCTAGTAGTACATGTCACACATTTATGAACCATTCCTTTCCAAAAGTTATATGAATGTTTATCTTCTTTCACACATTACCGTTCCATTGTGTTCAGGACGAGAGGTCACCACTAGGACATAACCATTATGTACTGGTTTATAAAGTCCGCTGTCCCACAGAGCATGAGGGTCCAGGTTCAATACCCAGAAATAGCTGTTATTAAACATCCCCAGAGCCATCGCCTGAATAAGTCAATTATTAGAAAGATGTTATTTTTAGTGATTTCTGGTCTTTGAAAACAGGTACCCAGGAGTAGTGTATATTTTTAATGATTTCTGATCTTTGAATACAGGTAGTCTAAGATTATTAAGACATACTAATTCATTATTATGGCATTTTGAGATGCCAATATTTGTAAATCATAACTGAACTCCGATTTAGATACTAGTGGGTGGCCAATGTGCGATGTCAGAAATCACTTACATAAGTGGCAGGCAAACGTAAGAGAAGCCTATCAACTGAGACGTACTTATGAATTATGAATTATTCGATTAATCTGATTGTGTGAAACAAATTGACTTCTATTGTCGGAATTAAATTCGGTTAAACTCAGTTCTCTATTGATACAAGATCTACAGCTAATAAACACAATATTTGCAATCTAAGAAAATATGGCTTTACATGGACTGTGTTAAAAAAAAAAGAAATAAATGAGTAAAACAGTGAATATGAAATTTTATAAAAATTTCTGTCGGGAAAAATAGCGTTCAAATAGTTTGAATGTACTGGTAATTTTTTTTCATTATACCCAGCTTCTACCGATATTCTGGGGATGATTTCCCAAGGGACTGTCAAGATATTCGTGAAATAAATGTGTCAGAAGACTGGGTAAATATACTTACACAATATCCGTATTTACAATTTCTTATAATTAAAAAAAAAGTTAAATGGATATTATTCATCAAGCAATGAACATATGCATGTCATAATGATTTGTTTGTTTTATAAATTTAGTTGAGTATCATCTACCACTATTCTGGCGGACAAACGAAAATATTCCAACAAATCTAATTAATCAATACCAACACAATCAATTTTTTTATAATGATTACCAGAACTGAAAAGGCTCCCAGGTAGTGAGTGTATTTAAAAATTCGTCAAGATAACAATAAACTATTACATTATTTCGAATGAATCTGTCACTGAAGCAATATTATAATGCGAGAACAATGAGTGCTTGAACTCATTATGTATATCTTTAATTCCAGATCAATTTTGTTTTTCTGTCAAAACGTTTAATTAAAGGTACGGGTTGAATGTTCTGCTCCCAAATGCTACCCAACGGAATGGAGTACTTTTAATATTGCTTACATAAAGTAGATTGGGGATAAATGATGTAGTCTCAGGTGCATTAATATCAATATGCAAATCATTTATCAGGAACTACTAGTATTGAGAAAACATTAATTTTTTTTCTACGAAATACTTCTTTTAAAATATGAACAATGTTTTTAATCTTTCTGTTTTCGTGGAAACTGGATATAACAATATTCCAAACATTAACTTTAATGTATTTGTATGTGATTCAAAGAAAGTGGCACCTATCAGTGATTCATCAAATCACTATTCCAGTTTATGTGCAAGCTCCCATGTTCGTCATAACTTAGTACTGAGTCTGCCTAACGCCCAAAAGCAGAGAAATTTTAAAGAATAAATGCATTCCTCTATATGATCGATGGAGCCCCGCCCTACCACTATAGCCTCTGACCCTAGGGCCATGAGTTTCAAAATTAAGATGGAAGCTCCCTTGCTCATCATAATCATATATTTAGTATGTCTGCTTAATTAAAGCAGAGAGAGATTTTTCAAAGAATATTAAAATTAACACATTATTTTTTCTCTACATGATCAATAGAGCCTTATCCTAACATTATATCCCCTTACCTTAGTAAGGGCGAAACGATTACACGTGTAAACGGCAACGTTTCGATTATATGCTCTAAACGTTTACAGTTTGAGTAAACGTTTACACGAAGGTCATTATCAATGTCTATCAGAAATAAAGTTTAACACAAACAAATTGTTTTATTTCATAATTTACAAAAGAAACGCCGTCTTTGACCATTTGATAAGCAACAATCTAAACCGGAAACATATTGAATAAAAATATCTAAAACCCGATACGGGCTAACATAATTAATTCCGATTTCCGAGTTGCTAATACTAGCGATGTTTTACGACACTTGAAATATAAAACTTGATATATTTTGATTAAATAAATATACCTTTTTCACAAGTCTTTGAAAAGTTTCAATACAGTCAGCAGGTCTTGTTTTACTTTTTTCGAGATTAAAAGATCCATCTTTACAATTATTTTTTCTACGTCCGGTAGCCAAACAAACCAAGCAGTTGGGTGACGAGGTCGTAAGTGAATGAATTTAATGCGCCTCAAATTCTTACGGTTAAATCACAATAACCAACAATAAATTTGTAATAACAACTCATACTTATATTAAAGTGAAAGAATTGATTATCAAATTCGAGTTTCATGAGTAAGTAGCCATAAAAATCCAACATAGAATATCTCCCGTTTAAACGGTACCGTTTCGTTTACTGCTATCCGTTTAAACGTTTACAAAATTCAGTAAACGTTTCACCCTTATAACCTTAGGTCCATAAATATCAAAATTTTAGAAGGCTTAAAAGCTAATACTTATTACGATCATGCAAAAGGAGTGACTTCATGATGTTTAAGAATAAAGAAGAATAATTCCGATGCCCCTCGCGCCCCCCACCCCAACCCTAGCGCCCCGAGCAAGGGACTATAAAATTCACCATTTTTGTTTCCTTCATCCATGGATGCTTTATTTGCCAAAATTGGATGAAACTGGCTTTCTGGCTCAGTGTTTCCAGCGAAAAATGTTTGAAAGTTTACGAACGATGTACAATAACAGGTGACAACTGATTGCAAAAGGTCACCAGAGTGAAATAAAATATTCATTATTATAATTTCCCCCGTTATCTGTTATTAGAATCAAAATAGCATACAATCTCAATATAAGTAAAATATATTCTTGAGCTTTTGCTATTCATTTAGAACCGTACATACCTCTGAGACGATCTCTAATGCCGTATGTTTGTCTGTGGTTACGTATATAACCTCCTTTAACCAATCCTGACCAATAACAGCAAGAGATGGACTTATCTTACTTCCATCACGCAAGAAAACGGCATTACTTGAAATACTGTGGACGCTAAGGCGATTGAGGAGGTCTTGAATGCAAACTCCACCTTTGATTGTAAAAAAGACATGTTAGTTCAGAAAATATATGTTACCTTGGTAATGAATTATATTTGGTAATATTAAGCAAAACTTACCAGTAGAGTCGTAAATGATGTTCACTCGGCGCCACCTCATGTACAGTGCTATATCGACAAATAACGAATTTTGAATTGGACAATTTGGTACTGTAGATATTAGGACACCATCACTGATCTTTGGGCAGTGACCTCTAACAACATTTATCAATAGAGTGTTTAGAACGTTTGCTACTTTCATCACTACTGGCGACAGGGAACATGAGGTAAAGGCTATCAGTCCAAGAATACCATCTGCTGATATGTTGTAAACTTTGAAAGTAAAAAAAGGGCATGTGTGTAGATTGAAATATTAAATATATTTTTATCGTGAATCATCAAAAACTTTTTAGAACTTAGTACTGAAAAGTTTATAATGTATGTAGAGGAACTTAACAAAAATATACTGGAGTATATCACATAAAACTTGAATCAAAATGTTCCTTTTCATCTGTTTCAGATTTACATTCTTTCCTGATGTGAAACAAAATTTAAATTGATCATAGTCTGGGAAAATGAAAGCTGCATAAATATTTACTGGTCTTACAAACTGAGAGATATCCTCAGAACTTACCGCTGCTGACAAAAGAGAAATCTATCATTTTGGATTTTTACTATTCCTTATGCTAAAATTATCAAAACATAGATAAAAACAGAATTATTTTTTAACATTTCATTACAAGTTAATTCTAGCAACAACAAAGGATGGAGGTTGCATATAATACACAGTGTATCATACAAGAAATAGGAATAACGATTTACAAATATCGATAGAAATAAAATTCATAATTTGAAAAACCCCTATTGAAGTAGAATATCAAATAATTCATTAATTATACATAGCCCCAGACATTATATTTTTGTAATTACTTTCTGAATTCACTCCCATCATTACAAGATACTTACCCGTTTGTCCCGCAATGACAGAATCTGAGCCATTGAAGTCATAACGCATGTACTCGAGATCACAGGAGCCAGGAAAGTCATAACTGCCTGTATGATGGCTCAAGTTTGTCCATTCATCGGTTTGAAAAAGCACACCTATTAAAACATACTGAAACTATAAGAAATCAAAACAAATAATTTAAAACAGTTGAAGTCATCACGTTTATCATAAAGCTTTTTTGTTAGTTTACCATTAAAATCTTTTTTTGGTATATATAATGGCCAAATACGAAAAAGATGTGTGGTATCTTTTATTTGAAGCTCACTGGGATATATCAATCCGAACATATGAATGGAAATAACTTTTGTTCATTGAATATAATTATGTCGTCGAAAATCGAGTGGAAGGCCACGGCAAGTATTTTCTTCTTCTCATGTAAAAGATTGTATTAAATTCTGCTTCAGATGAATACGATTGCAATAAGTATCCATTGGATTTCCGACAAAATGTGATTTTCAAAATTTCCAAAATTTATTTGGAATTTTTAAGTATCCACATCTTATTTACAACACTTCTCAAGTCGACCGCATGGCGCAGTGGTTGGTGCGTCTGCATTAGAGCCGCAGTCTAAGGCGTTGATCCTTACGTCGCGGGTTCGAATTCACTGTGGAATGTGGAGAGTCAGACGATCCTTTGGATAAGACGATTAAAGCGAGGTCTTATGTCTCAGTAGGTATTGGTAAGAAAAAGATTCCTCGCTACTCAAAGGCCCCGAATGCCGAACAAAGGAATACATTTGCAGCCCATCACGGGAAAGTGGTGGCGTCTCCATTTAAGTGAAAAATTCTCGAGAGGGACGTTAAACAACAAACAAACACCTCTTCTCGAATACACTGACAATCAAGTTGGACACTACTAAAGATAATGAGACCTGGAGATTTTTTCATGAAATGTTGAAGTCATGGTTTACCATGTATTTTGCATTAAAAAAGTGAATAAGAGTGAAAATCCTATCTCTTTGTTACTTTGTTTAAAAGGGGCGTCTGTGATGTTACATGTACAATGATATTTAAACTAAGCTCTGTTTTAAAATACATGTAAGTATATATAGCTCAAACATAAATTTACTACTATTTTCCAAACTTACCAATTTTCCAGCTTGCACGGCATATTCCTACTAAAACACACAATATTAAAAATGTTCTCTTCATGTTTTACAACCATTGTTTTCTATTTAAGAAGTTTTCTAACTTAAAGTTTCTCTCTCATAAAAATTTCACGACACGAATTTTGAAAATGAAAACTTTAAGAAATAAATCCATGCATATCCATATGCTGGTCACCTGTTCATTTTTCAATATCAATTGTAATCAGTGGAACTGACGATCAATAGCTAGGTTTTATCACATGGCTGACTTTCTATGGCATTGCTTGCAAATCATTCTGGTTGTAAACCACCTGGGATTGGACTGGTTTGTAACATGCGAGTTACTCTGTGGGCATCACCATACCAATAACGTTTTTGATTCTTTTGCAGATTTACAAGTGAATTTTTTTTACTAATTTTACCCGAATTATTACTATAGAAAGTTCGTGTGCCTTACTTTTTTCGGATTCGTGTCCCTCACGTCACACTTTTTAATCCTTTTTCTGAGTTTAACAGGTCGGTATTGACGATCTGGAGCAACCCTCCCCCCCCCCCCCCCGAAAAAAAAACCCCGAGTAAAAGCCAAAACTTGATTGATTGGTCGTGTGTTGTTTTATGTCCCATTCGAGAACTTTTCACTCCTGCAGATACGTCACCATAATATATTATACCGGTGAAGGCCTTTACTCGGCACTTAGGGTGTTTGAGCAGTTGGGGATCTTTTTCGTGCAACGCCTGCCGTGACACGAGACTTAGGTTTTCAAGGTCTCCTCCGAAGGATCCTAACTTTCAATTCAAGTGCCTTGGCGAGTGAGCGCTCTACCGACTGAGTAACGTGAACGGCCAAAACCTGAAAATCGTATTTCAGAAAAAAAAGAATCTTAGTACTTCACAAACGTAAAAAAAATAAGTTTTTACTACAAAGACAACTTTTAAAGCTATGGATTGTTCAAAGTTGAAAGGAGGTATACCGGTGTACCGTCCATTTTAGCTTTTCTGACATGATTGGACATATAAATTGATAAAACGCAACATTTCAAATGCTAGTATCTTTAAATTTTAAGGATACATTCCATTATTGTGCGCAATACGCGCATCAGATTTTGTAGGATTCATGTAAAATATATGAAGAATTTTTTTAAACTTCGTACAGTTAGTCACTGTGAGGAGCAACTGATTATTAAATTTTAAAAATTGATGACAAATCTGTTTAAGATATAGAACATACGAAATTAGTTTTGCATATAAAATATGAAAGAATTGATTTTTTCCCATGTAGGAAAGATGATATCATTGATGCAACTAAAGAGAGCAATTTAGTGAAATTATTGGCTTCATTTATTCATTTGATGCGTGCAATAATTTAATAATTCAACAATCAATTGAAAATTACACTTAATAAACCCCATCCCCCCCACGTTTTAGTCATTTTTTTCAGTTTGTGTGTTATTTTTATTTTTTTTTTTTTTGCAAGTGCCCCCCCCCCCCCCCTCACACACACACACGTATACGAACCTGTACATGTAGGTTCAATTCCACAGGCTACAGATAGGTTCAATTGAATTATATATATCTATCTTTTTCTGTATTTTAATTGATCTAAATATTGGTATACTTAAGACTTCTCCTCAAAGTAGTTGAAGTAAGTTACAAATCATGTAAACATAGTTTCAATTCAACTGCATCTATCTTTAATTCTTGGAATTTGAGGATAGGTAAAGCCGAATCGATATTTAAATTTTGAACTGATATATTGACGTTCCATAGATTATGCTCTTATTCAGCGGAAAAATAACTCTTATCACTCTTTTTAAATTTTGAAAAATTTCGAAGAAGAGTTCCCATGCTCTTACTACGGAAGCGTATTAGGGCCGCAGCAGTATGTTTTTTTTAATTTGTTTTAACAAATTAGTAATTTGTTTAAACAAATTAATAATTTGTTATAACAAATTAATAACTTGTTATAACAGATTAATAATTTGTTATAACAAATTATTAAATTGTTATAACAAATTAATAATTTGATATAACAAATTAATAATCTGTTTTAACAAATTAATAATCTGTTAAAACAAATTAGTAATCTGTTATAACAAATTAGTATTTTGTTATAACAAATTAGTAATTTGTTATAACAAATTAGTAATTTGTTATAACAAATTAGTAATTTGTTATAACAAATTAGTAATTTGTTATAACAAATTATTAATCTGTTATATCAAATTAATAATCTGTTATATCAAATTAGTAATTTGTTATGACAAATTAGTAATTTGTTTTAACAAATTATTAATTTGTTATAACAAATTATTAATTTGTCATAACAAATTACTAATTTGTTTAAACAAATTAAAAAAAAGGTACTGCTGCGGCCCTAATACGCTTCCGTACGTATCTTACAGTTGCAGGATTCTCATGTACATGTAACTGTCTGTTTACTTTATACAACTCTTTTTTTTTTATATTTGCGCGCCACAACAGGTACTTGACGGTATTAGGAAAGATAATCTAATGTTTGTTGAACATTAACATGGAGAACTTAACGCCCACGGATAACATTCCATTTCAGAAAATATTACAGGCCAAGGAAAATATTAGGGGGTCAGTCATACGATCACCGCTGATTCTTCTCAATGAAAATGTTCCAGGCAAAAAGGTATAAAAATAATTTTTATCTCGTAATTTATACATGTTGAGAACGCATGATCGACTCTAACGGAAGGAGTGTAAACTATGAAGAAAGACGGATAATCCGATTCGTTAATAGTTTGTATGATGGCCAGTCAACCAAAAAATTGTACATGTATTATTTTTATGCTCCAGTAATTGAAGATTAGTTGGCGTATAGTTCATGCCCTGTTCGTCTGTCTGTATTTTCTGTTTGTATACTATAATTATATCTGTTTGCACAAACTTTAACCTTTGACCTTGCCCAAAACTTAATTAGTTAGAGCTTCGGCTTTAATTTATAATTCATGGGTGTATTTTTTATGATAAGATGTCTTATTAAGACCTTTCTTTGGGTACCAAGATATTTAACCTTGCAGTTTTACCCACTTTTTGCAATTTTTTTTTTTTTTACCGAACTTGCCATAACTTTTGAAGTCGGAACAGTTGGTGATAGGGTTTTTTGAAAATATTTCAAATGCTTATTTTTTCGACAAGTTCTTAAATCGTATTTTGATCTTGGAGTTTATAAAACTTTTTGAAAACTTTAAATCTGACTACAAATTTTACATCAGTAGTCGTAGTCATTACCAGTGGCTTTTATATTTTACAGCTATATCCCTTGACAAGGCCAGCCTTGGTACCAGCAGTTTGAACTTTAGACTATATGACCTTGGAATTTGACATACGTTTGAAAAACTTTAACCTTGAATATAATATTTGAACGGTTGGTGATACAGTAGAACTTTCTTATTTTCACGGGTGTTTTTTTGAGAGAATACCTTCAAATGGATGACATTATTTTGAAATCTTTACGTCGCCCGCACGGCGCAGTAGAACGATTGGCTCTAAAGTCGCGGAATAAGGAGTTGCATGATCTTTACGTCACAGGTTCGAATCCAACTTTGGAACAAAGAGACCGATCCTTCGGGAGACCGTAAAAAACAAGGCCGAAGGTCCTGGCTTGAAAAAAAGCTCCTACTGCTCAATGGTCGTTATTGGCGAGCAAGGTTTATTTGCAGCCCACCACTCCACCGGCAAGTGGTGGCGCTTTAACATGAGTGAAAAATATTCTCGAAGGGAAGTTAAACAAAGAGGACAAACAATAACTCTTAGAGTTGACTTGCGTCTAAGAAACTAACCTTTGTAATAAGCAGTCATCCATGCGGGGCATCAACGTTTCACAAACACATCTTTTTTTTCAAGTAAAATAAATGTACGTTTAATACTTAATGTTTCTTTTCTTCCATGTTGGACAGATATACATTAAACTGGAAAACTTACAACCTATTGGATCATTCAAAATCCGAGGTGCTGGAAACGCTCTTGCCAATTTATCTGAGGAAGAAATAAAGGATGGCGTTTATACTGCAAGTGCTGGGAACTTTGCCCAAGGCCTTGCTTGGAATGCCAGGGAAAGAGGGATACCCTGTAACGTCATTGTCCCTGATCACGCACCTATGACGAAATTAGAGGCAATCGAACGACTTGGGGGTAGTATCTTAAAAGTGCCTTTTGACAAATGGTGGGAAATCATCCAAACTCACCACTACAAGGGAATGAAAGGGAAATTCGTCCACCCTGTTTGTGATCCAGCAGTTATCGCAGGTGAGTATATTTTAGTCCTTTGTAAATAAAAATAATGATTTATCTTTCTAATGTGATATTTTTGACAGTATATCAACTTTTTGGCCAGGTAATGGGACCATAGGATTAGAAATTATGGAGGATTTACCGGAAGTGGACGTAGTCATATGTCCCTATGGTGGAGGAGGTCTCATATCGGGGGTGGCATCCGCCGTAAAATCCCGGAGACCCAGCGCTCAAGTATTTGCATGCGAGGTTGACACCGCGTCCCCTCTGAAACTGTCATTTGATTTGGGGAAACCTTCAACTTGTGATTACAAGGCTAGCTTTGTAGACGGTATGGGTGGTAAATCGGTGCTAGAATCTATGTGGCCACTGGTAAGCCATCTTGTAGATGATTCTTTGGTTGTGACACTAGAAGAAGTTGCAAACGCTGTGAAGTTGCTTGTTGAACGGAACCGTGTTGTTGCAGAAGGTGCTGGTGCTGCAACTGTGGCTGCGGCGCTGTCTGAAAAGTTCGCAGGCAGACTTCGTGGAAATATAGTGTGTGTTATATCAGGCGGCAATATTGATACCAATAAATTAATACAGGCATTGGAAGGCAAAATTCCACAATAATAAATTTAAAAACAATAATTTCAATATTTGTTGTGCACTGTCATGAATATGACCGAGGCATATGGTATTTGTCATGGCTGTCTTCGTCCTTCTGTCTGTCCGTGACGTCACATCTTGTGTTTAGTTAAGGGGGCCGACTATAGTTTTATTGTGTGAAAACTACAATGGCGAAACTCTTCACTTTTATACCATATATGACTTACATTAACTTCAGTGTACATGCAAAGTTTGGGGGAAATCTACCGTCCAGGTATTTTTGAGGAACCGTCTCAATATACATGTACATTTACTATAGGATTATATTGGAAAATGCCAATTTTTAGCACTTTAACCCCTTCCATGGCAAAGATTTCAAACATTTCTAGACAAACTGATATTAAGATTTCAATGCATTTTTTCAGGTATTTCTTGTAATTTTTGTATATACCAATGCATATATATTCTGAAAGCAGGTATTGTGTAGTTTCTGAAAATGATCATAAAAATATAATTTCAGTTGCCATGGCAACGAAATACACAATAATCATGCTGGAATTTCCATTTATTTAAGAATGAGTTTCATGATGGTTTTTTTGCTTAGTTAAATATATTCAAAAATATATTATTGTTACGTTGAAATTTATGAGCATGTTGTACATTTTTTAAAAATCTAATTGAAAGTATTTTATAGAAATGGGGGTTGAGTTTGAAGGTAATCACTAGAATTTAGCATTTTTACATATTACGTGTTACCACCGCATTGATTTCAATAATGGCAAAATCGCTTGAATAGTGCACAAAGTTTAACTCAAGCTAGGAAAATACTGGTACAACCAATAAAAAAAATCTGTATAGTATTTTATTGTAATTATTTTTCCTTCTAACAGTGCAAGATTTATTTTGATATTTGTAGTATTAACGAAGTAATGAATGTTTGTTTACACTATACTCGTTTTTCAAGTCAGATGCGTAGAAATGCGTATATGCCATGGAAGGGATTAAAGCAAATTATACAAATACTACAATAGACATTTTGTTCAAACTATAATATTTTATGAGCAATACTATATCATACAATATATGTAAGAAACACAAAATTCTACCGTCTTGTTACCAGAGGGGGCATCTCAAAATGCAAAAAATTAGCAAATTTTACTATTTTCATAGAGTATTACAAAATATGACGTACACAATGGATTCACATGAAAACATAATAACAATATTGGAGATATTCTCAAATTTCTATGTTTTAAATTTCAAGAGCGTATGTTTATTACTTTTTCTTTAATAATATTTTGATTATACCCCTTTCCTTAAGAGCTACAGATTATCATAACGTCAAAAACACACTGCAACGACGTCCACCTACCTATCAATTGCAAAATCGGTTAAAAATCAGTTATATCAAATTGTAATTACATTTTTATGCCTATAATTTCTTAATTTTGTTTAATTTTAATAATTAAGTGAAAAAAGTTGCATTAAAACAGTAAATACGCTTCATTTTACTATGATGCGCGAAATATTGCGCAATGGAAACTATAGTCGGCCCCCTTAAGTTTCAAAAGAAACTTCATATGCTGAATACATAATAGTGAGAGTTACTCAACTGCATCATCATTTTAAAATTTTCTTTTTATTAACTTTGGCCATAATAGAGAAATTATTGAATTTATTCGGCGTTTTTATCTACAGGAGAGAGCTGTAAACCCTGTTTAAAGTGTATGACTTTGACCTAGCTTTTTTGGCTTTTACTGAAGCTCAGCTGAGAACTATTCAATGTATTTTATCTACACATGCAATGATACAAATTGATGAAAAATTACCAACCATTCGAGATAATTTTATCAAACTTCGTGTACTTATTCAAAATGGTAAGAACTATTCAACTGGGTCATAATTTTCCTATTTTTATTTTCTAAAAAGCATTTTATAATTGCTAGAAAAATAACATTTATTTGGCACTAACAGAGATTCTGGCATTGAGCAAATACAACAAACTTTAAAAGTATTTGAATACAATGTAAACTCTTCTCCTAATTAAACAAAATCAAAATCATCATTCATGATAGCATCACATCAGGAAATGTAAACAGAAAGTGAAATATCATAACAAATATCATACTTTGTTGTATCATGTCTCAGTAGTTACAATTTATTGTAAGAAATTTAGCACCATCTTCATTAATAATGCAATTTATACTAAATGCACTTCTTCATCATCATTTATTTCAAAATTTGAAATTCTAGCATGTTATAAAAATTCAGTTATAAATGACCTGTTAGTCTAGTAATTAACTATTCCTAAGCAGAAACAGATCTATAATCCCCCCTGGGAGGCTATGAACTTAATGTCAGCAGCACTCTACTTCAGTCTACAGATGAAAATACTTCTCCTCTCATCACCATTTTATATCACTTTAAAGTATTCTCTACTACTTGTGATATAATCGTTGTGAACTCAGGTATTATGAACAACATGCTTGAAATACTTCCGGTCACTTGAGATGGATGCTTCTGCCTCTAGCTGTGCTAATTCCTTGATACAGAGAGAATGTCTGTGACGTATCTCCAACATAATTTCATCGTGCTCTTGGTAGAATTGGCGGAGCCCAAACTATCCAATGAAAACATTGGTTACATAGTTATAAATTTTATGCATAATTCAATTTATTCATATAGTGTAAATCAACATACAGTCATGATTTTTTTTCTTTAATTAAATTTTTATGCGCCCGGATCGATAGATCCAGGGCGTATATTGTTTTTGTCCTGTCTGTCTGTTTGATTGTTTGTTTGTCTCGAACTTTAACCTTCACCATAATTTTGAACCATGAAAGATAGAGACTTCATATTTGGTATGCATACTCCACTAATTAAGGTCTTTCAAAGGACACCAAGGTCAATGACCTTGTGACCTTAACTGTGGCATATATGCTAAAAATAGATTTTTTCTGCAAACTTTAACCTTTGTCATAACTTTTGAACCATGAAAGATAGAAACTTCATATCTGGTATGCATACTCCACTAATTAGGTTCTTTCAAATGACCTCAAGGTCAATGACCTTGCGACCTTGGCTGTGACCTATATGCTAAAAATAGCTTTTTTGAACCCTCACTATAACTTTTGAACCATGAGAGATTGAGATTTCATATTTGGTATGCATACTCTTCTAATCAAGCTCTTTCAAATGACAGCAAGTTCAATGACCTTGTGACTTTGACTGTGACCTTAATGCTAAAAATAGCTTTTTCTGAACTTTGTTGCCGCCGGGCGCATAGTGTTTCACATACACATCTTGTTTTTCTTTAGGATGTTAATTCTACCATTTTTATATCAAGTATGCTTAAATATATATTAATTTCTTTGCAGAAATGCAAATCACATAAAACATTTTGTGCATTTATGTATATTGCATGAATGATTAAAATGAAACTGGTAATAATAACGATTTACACTGTATATTAATCACTGTTGAGTTTGTAAATTTATAATTTTTATTTAAATCTCTACTCAGGTAATATTTATAATAATTATAATAATAAGTTAGCATATAAGAATGCATTTTTAATTTATGTGTAACAGTTATTTCTTGTTGAATAAATACAAGTATTTATAAAAGAAATGCTGTTGTTTTTTAACTGCTGTGCTCTTTAACTTACTGTATCTACTGACACAGGAGAATTGAGAAGCCTGAAATTAAATAAAGAGAAAAGAGTTACATCTTTCAATATATGTACTATGTTTGTCACTATGTTACTACATGACCATTTAATGAGCACTGAACTAAAGTTAAATTTATTGTTATTGAAAACCAGAAGTCTCTGTCGAGACTGAAGCTCTACTGGTTTGTACTTATAATAAAGAAAGAGAAAAGTAGCAGTTGGGATATAAAACTTTACAAAAGCAATAAATAGAATAATGACAAATACCGATACACAGAATTATGTATCTTAGTGTAGTCTACTTGTGTGCCAAGTTATATTAAAATCAGACCAAAACTGTAGGAGGAGTAGCATTTTAAATGTATTTCAAAGAAATTTCTTTTTTTTAAGTAACAACAGCAACACCGTTCATTGAAACAAAAACCTATATACAGAATTATGTATCTTAGTGTAGTCTACTTGTGTGCCAAGTTACATTGAAATCAGACCAAAACTGTACAAGGAGTAGCATTTTGAATGTTTTTCACAGAAATTTCTTCTTTTAGTAACAACGGCAACACCGTTCTTTGAAATCAAAAACCAATATACAGAATTATGTATCTTAGTGTAGTCTACTTGTGTGCCAAGTTATATTGAAATCAGACCAAAACTGTAGGAAGAGTAGCAATTTGAATGATTTTCACAAAAAAATCTATTCTTAGTAACAACGGCAACACCGTTCATTGAAATCAAAAACCGATAAACAAAATTATGTATCTTTGTGTAGTCTACTTGTATGCCAAGTTATACTGAAATCAGATTAAAACTGTCGGAGGAGTAGCATTTTGAATGATTTTCACAAATTTTTCTATTTTTAGTAACAACGGCAACACCGTTCATTGAAATCAAAAAGCGATACACAGAATAATGTATCTTAGTGTAGTCTACTTGTGTGCCAAGTTATACTGAAATCAGATTAAAACTGTAGGAGGAGTAGCATTTTGAATGATTTTCACAAATTTTTCTATTTTTAGTAACAACGGCAACACCGTTCATTGAAATCAAAAAGCGATACACAGAATTATGTATCTTAATGTAGTCTACTTGTGTGCCAAGTTATATTGAAATCTGACCAAAACTGTAGGAGGAGTAGCATTTTGAAAAATTGTTTACAGACGGACAGACAGACAGACGGACGGACGACGGACGCATTACTATCGCATAAGCTCTTCTGGTCTCTGACCAGTAGAGCTAAAAAAAGGAAGGATGTTTCTGTACAAACCTCTCCGGGACCAGAGCCATGGTGTCTCTATAGGTCTGCCAGAACTTTTCAATCTCTGCCTGATACCTGACCATCATACAATCACTATCAAAGGTCCCAATACCTAGTAAAATGGAAGATTCAGATGAAAGAAGACAAAGCTAACTTACAAGGGATCTTCCAAACTGAAGAAGATCAAGTTCACTTAGGAAGTATAGCAAATAAATGGATATGTAAAATGCACCTTTCATTAAATTTTCCAGATCTTCAATTTCCTTCCGTATAACTGCTGCTGTTCTAGTTTCAAATATTCTGTAAATATGTTTGTTGCATTTTTGTTTTATACATCATAAGATATTCAAGTACAAAATGACTAAATCTTGGTAAAAATTTTCCCTACATACTGATGCCATAATCATAACAAAAATCAGCAAATCATTAAATATTTCAACATGGCATGATCTTGCAATCAAAAGATAACAGTATTTCAATCATAATTTTAACTTAATTTGAAAGAAATTATTTGCCAACATTTATACTAGTCTAGCAGTAATTACCCAAAGTCATAACCATACGATGTTGTTTCTGGTTTGGTATGACTGCAAGTCCATTCATCGACAATATGTTTCTTTTTCTGAAAGGAATAACAATATTTAACCAATATCATCTTATTGAGATATATAGAGTGTTATTTATGTGAGAGAGTGTCAAGAAAAACTGTGCACTAACATAAGAAACTTACCCATGCTGGATGACTGTATTTTTTGTGAACCTGAAATTTGAAGATTCTATTTATAAAAATCATTCAAGAAAGTTCAAACTTGCAAAAAATTATGTTATTTCATTCATTGAGCAGAAGAGGCTCAAGAGGAACATTTCAATGTATCTTACAATGGGTGGTTTAACTTTTTCCTTGTAAGGCAGATCTTCATCCGCTGACATAGGGGCGGGGACAACAGGTAAATCCTTATAACTGTCCACACTCAGGGATGGAAGAAACACCAAACATTTAGAGGGATCAATTCCAAGTTCCTCCTTGGTGTAGCACTCAGACTTCCATGGCATTATGGCATCCAGTGTTTCTGGTGCACACCTGCACAAATCAAAAGGTTAATTTTAGTTCTTTGAAAAATCTGATGAGTACAATACAAGGACAGATCTAGGATTTTTTCTGAGTTTTATGTCATTAACCAGTCAAAAATTGGGTGTCTGAATGCACATACACATAAAAAATTAGATGCTTAGTGTTATGGGTTGGAAGGCAATCTTTTCATTTCCCTTCATATCAATCATATGCATGTAAATGAACTTTGTACCAACTTACATACATTTGTACTAGATGTACATTAGTTTTCCTGAAGTGGGGGCTGGTGGTCCAAGCTACCGGTATGAAATTTTTAGCTTACTCTACTATATAAATTTAATAGATTTAAAAATCTTTGGGAGAGGAGATTGCTAATTCCCCTTCCAATGGAACCAGTACTGCAATGATTGAATTATTTTAAGATGGAAACAATTTTTACCAATTTTTCTTTCCAACCTTGTGAACAGTGTTTGAAAAACTATCGTCAGCTAATCTGTAACATGTTCCATGTTCAGAGCTTTTTATTGTACTAGTTTCTTCACCAAAAATCTTCTGATTTGTGGCTAAATTATAAACCACTGGTGATATATTGTCATTTTTCACGTGAGAACATTTGGCAGATGATGGTCTAATCCTTTCTTTCTCCTCTGTTGCAGTGGTTTTCTCTGCAACAGTCACATATTCTCTCAAATCAATCAAATTTCCTTCATTTTTAAATGAAAATCGTCTATCACTTTTGTGTACATATTTGGAATTCTTTTTTTCCTGGAAATTATATGCTGGAAAAGGGGCATTATCTCCAACATCGAAAACAGGAACTTGTATTCCGCCATGTGGAACTATTTGCTTATCATGCTCTTCATAAAGATGACTGGATGGTTTATTTTTTGTCTTATTGAGATGACTAGTATTTTCACATGATTCACTGTTACAGTAATTACTGTCAAGTTTCCAGTTTCCTTCTATTCTACTTTTCGCACTTTGTGCTCTGTTTGATTTTTTGGCTGAGATTGGGGGACGATGGGAAATCAATTTGAACTCCTGGTCTTCAAATTTCCTCTCGTGAACTGGATGTTTTGAACTCTTTTGAAATAGTCTGTTGGTCTGAGAATTAGGAAACAGTTTACTTCGATTATGGAATTCTTTTATTGGTGATTGTTGAATTTTTGCTCCATTTACTGTAATTATAAAAGATAACATATGAAATCATCAATTTTTGGTACATATGTAATGATCAGATTTAAATTTTCAGATAGTTCTTTAATATGCAGTGATATAAAAGTAAATGACTGCATCGCACATTCTGTATCAAAGTAACAATAAATGCCTCTTTGCAGTTGAGGGCACTTGCTTCAAGTTCAAGAAAGGTTTTGTCATAAATCATATCGTATCACCATGATCACACATTTTAACTTGAGGTTTTAGGCTAGATTGGATATTTTTTCCTCTATATCATTTTTTCAAAGCATATTCCTGTGATTTTTCAGTTCATGACATAACGAAGTTCGACTTAGGCTATGTAAATAAAAATAAAGCCCACATATTTACGAAAATTCCCATGACTATATATCAGTAAAGGGTATGCTATATAACTGAGCTATAAAAATGACAAAGAAAAAGTAAAAAAATCTCACAAATAACAGGATCATTTGTTTCCAGAGTTGGAATGGAGAAGTCGAATGTTTTAGAGGAAGCCATGTTGTTTACATTGACCACCATTTAAAAACTGATTGTAACATTTCTATTTTGTAGAAAAGTGATTGTGGTTATAACACTGAAAACTTATTCTTTTAGAGATGAAGTTACTCTCTTGGTATGCTAAAGAAAATAACATAAATAACATTACGACAATACATTGCAATTTTAACATTTGGGTTAGAGGGTGTTTGTCTGAATCATTCAGACGTTTTACAAGAAGGGGAAATAATGCTTTGTCCACGAACACATATTCAACATTGATTGAAAATTAGTGGACAGGCAAGAATTTGCAAGTCAGCTGTTGCAGACGAATGTTGGCTGTTGATTTTAATTAAAGGATGTCAAAGTCTAAACCGATTGTAAGCTTCACTAATTATTTTAAGGTTTTTCTGTTATATCCTATTTAAATCATCATAAAATTTAGGATAAATAGATTTCAAATTCCACCTCAAAATTCTGTCGGTTTGTTCAACAGGTTGGGCACAGCCTACCAAATGGTACTTTATCCCCCGTTTGGTAGATAATCTACCATATCGGTAACGAATTTTACTAACCAAATGGGGGACAAAATTGGTTGTGTTTAATTCCATAGAGTAAAGTGGAATTTCGCATAATTTTAAACCATGTGGAATAAAATATAGATATTTATCGGTATTCTGGGTGAAAAAAATCAAAAATTCTATGTGCAATTTTTTGCGCAGAGTTGTAAACAAGTGCAATGTTTCTTAGTTTTTTACTTTAAAAGATAATTCTCTCCTTCTCCAACGATGCTGCACCTGTCAATCATGTCCTTTACTTTCTATTTCGATTATCCGGGCAACCAATCAATTAGTGCAAACCAATCCAAAGGGTGATCTTTTTTAAACCTGATGAAAAGTCGGATTTAACTATGGAGGCACATTTGTGTTAATTTTCAACTAGGAAATCTGAAGAAAAATAAGTTTCGCCTTTATTTCTTTTTATTTTGAACACAATGGCCTTGTTCTTCATTGAAATAGTAAATGCAGTTGGAGTATGACATAATTATTGTTTTAAAACGATGTACCTGGAACAAAAACAAGAATAATGGCAAAAGTCATTTTGTACATCTTTTATTGAATATTATTTTTCGAATTTATTAAATTCACCAGTAATATGCATATTAAACCCCAAAAGATCGCATGGAATCTGCAACTTCATCCTAAAAGAAAAATAACAACAAATATTACGTACAACTCTGAAAAAAATTAACTTTATAGCAGGAAGTGCCCACCATACCGGTAAGGCATGAGGAGCTCGTGTTTAACAGGATTTTATGGAGATAAACATTGACGAAGATCCAAAAAGAGATTGAAAGTTAACTCATCAAGAGTTAAATCACTGTATAAAATTGGATTTTTATCCAACAAGACACAATAAAGATTTTTTTTTGATCGTTTGATCAAGAAGTTCGGCTGTTACAGACAACTACGGGTATTGCTTTTACGAAGTTACGGAGAAATTACACATAGAAATTCGACCGATTTATGTTAATTGTACGAGGAATATGTTCACTAAAATCCCCCATTGCCTGAATAAATGCGCTTTTGTTTTATTTTAATAAAAATTGCAATAGAATAAAAAAGTCCCCCATTTGGTTAGTAATATTCGTTACCGATATGGTAGATTATCTACCAAACGGGGGATAAAGTACCATTTGGTAGGCTGTGCCCAACCTGTTCAACTCAAAAATAGACATGAACATTAGATAGGTTTGGTAAGGGTTATAAATATCTCATTTGAGATACTCCAATTTGTGAATATGGTTTACCAGGTTTGTATACTTTTTGTTGTGTCAATCCAAAAACAAAATAACTTTTCTGTACATAATTTTTGTGATCACATAAGAAAAATGCTGAGTTTTAGTTCACTACAGTCCCCTTCTTTTACAATGTATACTCGATTCTCATTATATTGCAGCATATCGCTAAAATTTGTATACATAGCCTATATTCTTTTTGTTGATGGACAATATGTATGTTGTCTGAATGTTTACTTTTTTTATGATTAAGAAGTATGGAACATCCGTTTGAAAAAAATTCGAATAAAACGAAATTTTAAGGTTTCAAGTCCCGTTTTTGTTATATTTAGACCATTAAATTTATAACCTAGTAAAAAATTATATTAAAGTTCATCTTTTAAACGTCTTTAGTTTGTACAATTGTTCATTTTTCATGTAGAATTACATCATAAAATCAAAAATAAAAATTTAGGTGTATGTCATCTACAAGTTTCCATGTTTTTCCCATACCACGATACAAGGAGACTCTCCAATATAGGAGGTAAATAAGACTTCCTGTTTTAAAAATAGATCACAAATTAAACGATGCAAGCTTTGAAAATAATATTGGACACTAAAAAGTTAGGCCAACGTTGGAATTATAAATATCATTTGATATAAGTTAAAGTAAAAATTTGAAATTGCACTTTTTATGCAAAAGAATTAAGTACCGCGATATAATGAGACACCAGTATATATAATGATACATTTTGTTCTGCTTTCATAGTATATATATTGCATTGTGGGGCTCTGTGCCTGACATGTTTTTGTGACATATATTTTAATTTTGTATCCTTGTAAACCTTTTTGAACCTTCTTTATAGTTTGGAACTCCCTGAAAAAAAAATTATATACAGTATACATGTGTAATGTTGTTCTTACAGTCATATTTAACCTCAACTACATGGATATTTTCATGTAGATGTTTTTGTTGTGCATTAATTTTGCACTTTAATTCACAATATTTCTTTTTAATTAATATTATTTTCATCCAATGCTCTGTAATTCAAGATTGTCAGGATCCAGTCAGCAGATCATGGGACAAAGAGAATTGAAGCCAAGCCTATGGAAATAGTGGCAGATTTCTTGAACAAGGTAGTGTTGTCAAATCGGTTGAAAATCAGAATCGATTAATCGGTAGAATCGGTTGACAACCAACTGATCATCGGCCAATAATCAAATTTGCATAAAATAGGCATTATATTACATATAACATTTACAATTTTATTTTTAAATAATGTAAGTAAAGGTGCATTGTACAGATCGAAATTCTAAAAACAGTATATATGCAATTTGATTAACAATTACAGTAATACAGATTTTTGTATGACTAGGAATTACTTGGCCTGGGAAACATAAGCATTGACAGATCAGGTTTTAATTTACATGATCATCTAAAATATATATGGAATTAATTTTTTAAACTGTTATAAGACATTTGATATTGCAAATCCTTGTGATTACGCATGAAATGAAAAGTGAATTACCCCTAATACAGAAAACTAATATTTTTCATTTATACAAGTAGTTTAGTTTCTTCAGTTTAGAAATACATGTACAATTATCATTATCCTATGATTTATTTCAAACAGATATTATGTACATGTATTTTAAAATAGGTAGTAAAGGACAACACTTGGAAGATGTATATTTTGATAACAAGAGTCTGTTCTTGAAATAAAAGTGAGAAAACTATAAAAAAGATATGTACTGAAACATACCGATTAATCGATTGTTAAAATCTCCAATCGATTGTCTAAAATCGACAGCCTTTCCGACCGATCATTGATTATTAATCGATCATCATGACAACACTAGAACAAGGTTTACAAATTTTGAATTACATAAAGTATTATAATCATACTTCATCAGAATAGAAAAGAAGTAAAATTTCGACTTCATAATTTGATGTAGGGATACAGAGCAAAAATATTATCTTCTCTTTTTATAATAATAATAATAATAACATTTGTATAGCGCCCTATTTAAAATAAATTACTCTAAGGCACTGAACAGACAGTGTTTCAGAAATACATAATAATCATAAAAACATAAAACCTAAAATCATTGTACGAGATCATTACTAACATAAGAGTAAGCTAAAATTATAAGCTGCTGCACTAAGATCAACTTGAGATCAACTTAAAATCTTCACACAATACAGGTTGTGCCCAAATAAATAGTCTGAGGATAATAAAACTCGATAACTTGTTCAAAAAAATTAAAAAATTACACGTCGTATGCTATCTTAAAAAGATGAGTCTTAAGATCCTGTTTAAAAGCTAAAAGTGACGTCTGAAACCAGAGAGCATCCGGTAAACCATTCCACAGAGTTGCTGCTGCATGGTCAAATCGACGCGTTCCGTCTGTCTCCGTGCGAACACGAGGTTTCACAAGATGTTTGGAGTCATACGAACGTAGAGTCCTTGATGGTTTATAGACTGATAATTCCAATCTTCATTTTATCTATTGATTTCCTGTGTTTTGATTGGACGAGAACACGTTCCAGAAAAATTTTACACATCGATAAATTCTTTCAATCAGAACTACTTTCTTGATGACACTACTAGGTTATCGTATAAACAATGAAAGCAGTTATTTCTGGGTCTGTTCTGGCTAAATAATGAATACAAGAAACTTTAAATTTAATTAGGGCTTAAACAAAACTGGCAACATACTAGACTGCCTAACTGATGGACGCCGTGAAAATGTTTATGTCACTGTCCGATCACGAGTGTGAATTTTAAAAATCGCTGTCTCAACGTTCATACGTAGAAAATAAGCTCAGTCTGTATCGTTTTGACAGGGAAAAGAAACGTACCTCAAACTCTTGCCCTATTAGCATCAAATTCATATTTACTTTCTATATTGTTCCTCAATATTTGAATAAACAAGTGCAAATTGAAGGCGTCGTCGGTCTGCAACTTTCGCTATGAGAGTTGTTGTTTATGTCAACATGGTCATGGTCAAAGACGAACTATTCTGAAGTAAACTCGTAATTACGATATTTGTTGACTTAAACAACATTCGATTAGTTGTTATAAGTTTATTTATCGATTGTTTTGACAATTTAAGTTGAACTCTATCGAAATTCATCTCGATTACGTTCCTTTACGGTAAAATGTATTCCTACGCCATCCAGAAATAACGGATTGTATGGAGGCCTCAAAGAGAAATAATTTAAATATTTTTAAAAATTCGATATTGGAATTATAAGAATTAAACGTTCTTTTTGAAAAATTTATCGATGTGTAAACTCTTGACATTTTACTCACAAACTTAACATAAAAGTGCTTCGCACTTTTATTTAGTTTGTGAGTAAAATGTCAAGAGTTTACACATCGATAAATTTTTCAAAAAGAACGTTTAATCCTATATTATGAGTTCCTTTAGGTATGATGGTGATGTCCCCTGGAGTACTTTGAAAGTGTATAAAAGGATCTTATAATATGTTCTGAATTTAACTGGTAGCCAGTGAAGAGATACCAGGACTTCGGAGATATGATCATGCTTCTTAGTTCGGGTGACAATCCTTGCTGCCGTATTTTGTACTCTCTGTAGACGTGATATATTTGTCTCTGTAATTCCATAGAGTAGTGCATTTCCATAATCAAGTCTTGATGAAACTAGAGCGACAACTAGAGTCTTACAAGCATCTTCTGTTATGAATGGATTTTTAAAGAGTAGTACGCCATTCACAAAGTACATAAATTCATGCACTACATTGAGGGAAAACAGCTCAGTGTGTATATTCTGTGTATTCACTATGAATTCTGGCTACAGGCAGATTATTAGACTGTCTGTAATTACAAGTGGTTCTTGTCCTTTAGTTTAACTTCCATGTTTTCTTTAAATGAAATATACCCCCTGGTAGTTTACAATGAATAAATAGTTAAGCAGCTACTCTTATACTTCAATGAAATTGCAAGGTTTTTGATTTTGATTAACTGTGCTCTGTACATATTTGATTTTGTCAGCATTATCTGTAACTCAGTTCAAGTATCTATAATAATTGATTTTAAAACCAAACAAAATTGAAATCTTTAATTTTTTCAAAATGTTAGTAGAAAAAGCTTACCTTTTTCTGTTTTTATACAAGCTTTCCCTTTTCTGTTTTTGTACATTGTCAATTAAGAGGTTTTAAAAGTAATATCATCATACTTTAGCAAGTTCAACATTTGTGAATTCAAATTAGTTATATTGCAATTATCTTTTCATATTTGATTTCAACAAAGCACCATATCATCGGAAGTGAGGAAAAATGTGAAGAAAAAAAAAACCCATGGAATAAGTCCCTTATACAATATAACCATTTGGAGCTTTGAAATTATAGTTATTGATTTTCTTTAACAGGTACAGGAGGAGTTTGGATTAGGTGACACTGGATGGGGTGTCTACAAGTCACGTGACAAGAAAGAGTGGATTAGAACATCGAGGGCAAAAACTCTTGATTCTTATAAAATTAAGTATGTATGCAAATATTTTGTACATGTACATGTAGTTTATTAGGGCCCTGTGAAATGTTTATAGATATACACTGTGACTGTAGTATTCTGTGTCATATATAGCTGCATCCAACAGACATTCTTTTTAAAAACATTTTAAACAGCCAGTGAAACTTGGACAAACTGACAAGTAAGTGTTTTAAAGAGAACTCAAAACTCATCTTTTAAGAAATGCTTTTCTTTGATGTGCTTATATACATATGGTTTGTCTTCATATGAGACAGCATTTTAAAATTTTCTGATTCTCTTTATTGGTGTATGTAAGGTTATTCTAGTTCCATTTTTATTATGTAATTTGCTATATATTTTTTAAAGTGCTTTAGCATTTATTTAAGATAAGGGGTTTTATATAATTTTATTTATTTTTATGATAATAAATATATGGAAAATGAAAAACCCATTTGAAATTTAAAAATATTTCTGAATCAAAAGATAACCATAACACTGAGGACAGATGACATGACGACTATGCAGTAGTTGAAAGCTAATCAGCAACGCATTAAAATATGTAATATTTATACAAATATGTCTTAGAGCAAAAGAAACAATTTTTTTACAGACATGGAGACATGTTGTATTTGTTCTCCACTGACCGTAAACAGAGTAATGCCAGCCTCAACAGTGTGAGCAGTGTCGGGTCAGGGGCCTCAAACATCACAGGAGTTCTGGGGTCTGTCAGTATATCTGGCTCCTCCGCATCTTCAGGCACCTCACAAACTGTAGTGGAGGATGAGGTAGACCAGCTGCTATACAAGGAAGATGGCAAAATATACAGGAAGAGGAATGAACAGTTGTAAGAGAATCTTGTATTAACTGTTTAAAAGTACATTTTTATGTTCATGTTAATCTAAATGAGTGGATGCTTGCATCAGGCTTTAATATATATGTTTTTTTTTTCAGTTGTCGTCATGGGCCTCAAGGAAAATGCTTACACTGTGTCCCTTTAGAAGTAAGTTTAACTTCCTTGAAACAAGGTGTCAAAAAAAAGATTTCAGTTTTGTAAATGTATTTTGGCAGAATATTTCGAGGGAAGGAGGGGGTCTGACATGTTCTGTCAACACAGTCAGAGCATTATATAGAGCAAGCCGGGAATGCAATTAATTTTTAACCAAGGCTGTTACTGAAAAATACGTTGATGTTACAAGAATTTCAGCTCCCTGTTTTAAACCTTTCACTTTTATGCTAAATTTTACAAGTACAAGGAGTATACTCTATTCACCTGATCAGTATATAGGGCTCAGTATATGTGACCATCAACAGGGGATGCTTACTCCTTCTGGACACTTGATCCATTTCTGATGTTTTCAAGAGTCTTTGTTTCGGCCCTGATCATGATTCATTTTGTTTACTGGATGAGATTGATCACTGTTTGTTTTCTTCATCATTTATAGATTTATGTCTTTTTTCCAGCCTTATGATGAAGAATTCCTCAATAGCTGTGACCCTCCAATTAAATTTTTATCATTTCATTCATACATCAGAAAATTGACAAGTGGTGTTGATAAGTAAGTACTGTAAATTTATATATGCTATTAACATACTGCTGTTATAACACTGAACTATTAAAAAATATGAAATAATTATAAAAAAATGCAATCATGTACATTTTTAAATGAAAAACTACTATAAACTAAAGTACATGTATAAGAAAAGTATTTCATTAATTTCAGAGGAAAATTTGTGTCCTTGGAGAATCTGAGTTGTAAGATTAAGCCTGGGTGCAAAGAACATCCACCCTGGCCAGGAGGTATATGTACCAAATGTCAGCCCAATGCAGTAACACTCAACAGACAGGTCAGTGTATTTTATATACATGTTTATGTAGGTTTGGGATATCCAATCAAATTGAATATGCAAATCTTGTAATGCACAATAAATAAAAATAAAACATAAAAATTTTATTTATAGTTTATTTGTTGTTTAATATATTTTGAATGAGATTTAATTGAAGATGAATCTGGATTCAAATTTAAACCTTAAGAGTAACTTAATTTAGTCTGAACATTAAAATTCTTCAAATTGTTTTTTCAGAGGTACAGACATGTAGATTATGTAATGTTTGAGAATGCCTCAATAGTGGACCGATTTTTAAACTATTGGAGAAGAACAGGAAACCAGCGCTTAGGAATTATGTATGGACGATATGAACCTCATAAAGATACTCCTCTTGGTATCAAAGCTACAGTGTCTGCTATCTATGAACCCCCACAGGTAATGTTAATCTAAGGGAAAAAGTATTCAGTGTAAAACAGAATTGTAATGTTATCAAAACTGTATTGTTGTCGATTGATGGACATGTATATTTTTTATAGATTTTGGTTTTTGTTTTTCAAAGAAATAATTTCTTTTCTCTCATATATTATGGTTGACTTTAGATGTACAAATCTGAACTTAAATTGGTATGAGTTAACTGCCTTTTTTGGGACCTCTTCAGGCATTTTTTTCTCACTTTTATAGAAAAGTAGTAAGAACATGTTAGAGTTGTTGGAGGACCCTGTAGAAGAACAGGTTAACAGAGTGGCCGAGGCCCTGGGGATTCGTCCAGTGGGCTGGATATTTACAGACCTGCTTGCTGAGGATCTAAACAAAGGCACTGTCAAGCACTTCAGAGGAAACATTGTAAGTATTCTATTCTAAAATAAAACACATGGTTATTGCTGCATGGCAGTTTGAGTTTACAAAATAAATTGACTAGGACAGTGGTATATATTTATATTCAAACATAGTTTCAAAATTTTTTTCTGGCATCTCATCTTGCCAAATAAATTGTAGACAGTGATGTAGCTTGTTTCTTTTCTTCTTAACATTAAATGTAATAGTTTTTAAGGAAAAGGTTTTCTCTTTTCTTAATATTAATCAACCACATTTTGTACAAAGTATTTAGATAAGTCAAATTTGACTTCACTTGCTCAAAGGGCAAGAGAATCTAAAAGTGAATGTTTATCCCTGCATAAAACTAAAAAAAATTTCCCAGACTAAAGTTGCCTTAATATTGCATCTAGGGAAGCACATTACTAGACATGTTTCTTAGATTTTTCAGATGATTGTATAGGTCCATTCCAAAGGAAGTACATGTATAAGGCCAGCCATGTAGTGACTAAACTTGCATTAATGAAGCAGCTAGGCACATGACCTGATCAGTATATATTGATTGAGAGAAGCAGCCGGTCAGCACTTTTGCAACAAGTCCATTTCTAAGTTACAGTAACCTCATACTACATTTTGACCAGATTTGCATTGATATTTAAAATGCATCTAGGGATGCACAACCCAGACATGCTTTTAATGCTGAATCTGACCAACATATCTGGATGATGGAACAGACTTGAGTTTTTGGATTCTTGAATTCTTTCAAAATAACTTTAAGCCTCCCTTGATCAAACTTGGTCAGATGATGCCTCTAGAGAGAAGCATACTAGAACATTTGTTTGGAGTGTGATTTTTCTTATATTTTAAATAACACTTATCAAGGAGACCTATGTAATCTTTAAAAACCCATATTTTCAGCCAGGGATTCTAACAGAACAAATATATGATTCACATTGTAGAATTCCTTTTTTCTGAGTGCCCAAGAATGCATCATGGCTGCTGATTTTCAAAACAAGTATACCAATCCGTGTAAGCTGTCACCTGATGGACACTTTGGATCCAAGTTTGTGACAGTTGTAGTCACAGGTATGTTTACAATTAATTGGAACATATATAGTTAGTCATATAAATCACATGAACTGTTCACTTGAATTTGTATGGCATTATAAATATATTGAGAAAAGTAATGTTTATATGTAATTTATAAATATTTATGCTTCTAGGCGATTCCTCCAACCAGATCCATTTTGAGGGCTATCAGGTATCCAATCAGTGTATGGCCTTGGTAAATGATGACTGTCTGATTCCAACTAAGGATGCACCAGAGCTGGGATACATCAAAGAATCATCAGAAAAACAATATGTTCCAGATGTGTTTTACAAGGTTTGCTATCACTGTGAATTACTTTTCATGCTAAAGAGAGACACATGGATGTATGGAACAATGCAGTGTAATTTGTTGCCGGATTTAAATGCATTTCCTCCATGTAACTTGTAGTGCTGGGTATATCGCGATATATTGCAATATTATATTTTGTATTGCGGTATATCACGATATAAATATTTAATAATTTTTTGCTTTTTGTGAAGGTTAAATGAAAACACAAACTCAAATTACATGTATTCTCGAGCTGATATTCCAATTGCCTGATCGCGTTATGTCGGCGCAAGCGGCAAGATAGTTTTTTTAAAAGTTTTTCTGTTGGCACAACTTGTTGAATTCAATTAATTGTAATACTCAGATTCAGCTTTAACATGAAGGGGTTTCATATAACAGTTGTCGTCGTTTCGTTTTTGAAAGAGACATGTCTCTGGTTTCTGATCACACTTCACGTCGCTTGCCGCCATATTTTACCTTGAAAAGGGTACATAACTCTTTTTGTAACAATTTATAGCATATCGAACCCGAACCGGTATTCACAAAAAAATACCGCGATACGTATTGTGAAGAAAGAAATCGGGATACACCGGTTAACCGGTAATATCGCACAGCACTAGTAACTTGTAATAAAGCTTCTGGAATTTATTGAATTATTTTGCAAAGAATTAAAATTTTCCTGTATTATCAGGTCAAGGACAGTTATGGTAATGAGGTCACGCAGTTGGCCAGACCTTTACCTGTGGAATACCTTCTGGTGGACATGCCAGCAGCTTTCCCACTTTCTGCTCAGTACACATTTAAAGCTCACCTGCACACAGAAGCCAAGATGTTTGCTGTGGAAAACAGACAGACAATTGGAGAATCACAGGTACATTATTCTTGGTTTCTGAATATTGCTTCATTTCATTTTTTTCCAATGTAATTTTTAATAATAAATATTTTTTATCATGAAAGGAAGTAGAAAATATCCTTCTTAAATCAATCATGGTATTTGTATACAAAGAGAAGGGAATAAGTTTGATTTAAGTTTTCAAGCTTCATTATCAAATTTTCCATACTGTATTAAATATGTATAAGTGTGTTGAAAATTATGGGAATGAGTATGAAGCACATTATGTATGGGAGTGTTTTTGCAATATCAGAATGATGTATGTGTTATTAAAAATTGAATTAAAACATGCATAAAAGTATTGGTAGAATAGTTATACTATATCTTTCTTATACATGTAATATGTTTTTTGTCAATTACCTTCACATGATAATGTTCACAATTATAGTATAATGTTTAAAAAATAAGGACCAGTGCCATATGTAAACCTTCATTGTTATGCCCCCCTTCGAAGAAGGGAGGGCATATTGCTTTGCTGCTGTCGGTCGGTCCGTCGGTCTGTCGGTCCACTTAGTTTCCGTTCATTTTCTTCGCAACCATTGCACATACTGAAATCAAATTTGGTGTACAGATATATCACATTAATATCTAGGAAAGCTCTGTTTTGGGTACGATCGCACCATTTTTGACAGAGTTATGCCCCTTGGACTTAGAAAAATTTCAATTATTTGCAGTTTCCGCTCATTTTCTTTGCAACCGTTGCACATACTGAAATCAAATTTGGTATACAGATATATCACATCAATATCTAGGTCAAGTTCTGTTTTGGGTACAATTGCACCATTTTTGACAGAGTTATGCCCCTTGGAATTTGAAAAATTTCAATTACTTGCAGTTTCCACTCACTTTCTTTCCAACCGTTGCACATACTGAAATCAAATTTGGTATACAGATATATCACATTAATATCTAGGTCAAGTTCTGTTTTTGGTACAATCGCACCATTTTTGACAGAGTTATGCCCCTTGGAATTTGAAAAAATTCCAATTATTTGCAGTTTCCGCTCATTTTCTTTGCAACCGTTGCACATACTGAAATCAAATTCGGTATACAGATATATCACATTAATATCTAGGTCAAGTTCTGTTTTTGGTACAATTGTGCCATTTTTGACAGAGTTATGCCCCTTGGACTTGATAAAAAATTCCAATTGGGGGGAGGGGGGCATAAGTGTTTTACAAACATCTCTTGTTCTTATTTAGAATTTTATTCAGTTAACATTCAGATGTTTAGTTTAAAAACATTTGGTGCTAAGCTGCAATTCTCCATCAAATTAAGAGAGTGCTTTGTTTTGTAGGATTATACCTCCCTGTCCACCTATCTACAACAGTTCCCCCCAGACCGGTTCTTAGAAGCATCGTCAGACTTCCATCTCCTTATTTTCCTGGCTACGTCAGAGATGATTCCACTGAAGGTAAGTGTGTTTTAATATTATAATTAGGGATGGCAATCTGGTTGTCTATGACTTCTGTTGCCTCAAATCTTTCACTTTTCATACCAATTTCACTAGGGCTGTGTATTGGGATGCGATCTTTTTTTTAAAGCGATTGCGATATATTGTTTAGCTCAGTTTTAAATCATAATGCATTCATGATGGTGTTATCAAACTTCACATGATCATACAAATAACTTCAAATGAGAGCTATTCAACTGCATCAACATTTTTTACCTTGACCTTTTATTTGACCTTGACCTCACTTATCTTAAATTAGTGTTTAGCTCAATTTTAAAGAAACCATTCTAGATATTTTTATCAAACTTCATATGTTGGTACATATTGATGAGAGATATGCAACAACTGCATCAACAGTTTTGACCTTGACCTTTCCTTTAACCTTGATCTCACTTTTCCAAAATCAGTGTCCAACTTCATGTGCTGATACATATTGATGAAAGCAATTCAACTGCATCAACTTCTTTGACCTTGATCTTTTATTTGATCTTGACCTTTTATTTGACCTTGACCTCACTTATCTTTAATTAGTTTGTAGCTCAGTTATTAAGATACCATTCAAGATATTTTTATCAAACTTCATATGCTGTTACATACTGATGAGAGCAATTCAACTGCATCAACTTCTTTGACCTTGATCTTTTATTTGATCTTGACCTTTTATTTGACCTTGACCTCACTTATCTTTAATTAGTGTGTAGCTCAGTTTTTAAGATACCATTCAAGATATTTTTATCAAACTTCATATGCTGTTACATACTGATGAGAGCAATTCAACTGCATCAACATTTTTGACCTTTACCTTTCCTTTGACCTTGACCTCACTTTTCGTAAATCAGTGTCAAACTTCTTTTGCTGATACACACTGATGTAAGCAATTCAACTGCATCAACATTTTTTACCTTGACCTTTTATTTGACCTTGACCTCACTTTTAACAAATTGTGTTTAAGTCAGTTTTAATTAAAGAAATCATTCTAGATATTTTTATCAAACTTCATATGTTGATACATATTGAGGAGAGATATGCAACTGCATCAACATTTTGACCTTGACCTTTCCTTTGACCTTGAACATACTTTTCTTAAATCAGTCTCAAACTTCATATGCTGATACATACTGATTTAATTCAACTGTATTAACATTTTTGACCTTGACCTTTCATTTGACCTTGACCTCACTTTTATCAAATTGTTTTAAGTCAGTTTTAAAGAAACCATTTATAATATTTTTTTTCAACTTCATTTGCTGAAACATACTGATGAGAGCTTTTAAACTGCATCAACAGTTTTTGACCTTGGCATTTCCGTTGACCTTGACCTCATTTTAATGAAATTAGTACCAAACTTCATATGCTGATACATACTGATGTAAGCAATTCAACTGCATCACTTTTCAAGATATTCTGATCAAATTTCATACACTCATACAAATTTTCATGTTGAATCACTTATATACCCTCGGCGGGGCATTCATGTCCTATGGACATATTTCTAGTCTGATCAAGAGTCAAGAAAATAAATGGAAAAGTTTTAACTTCTATCGTCTTTTTTTAAAAGTCTTTTTAATTCCTATATATAGATAGAGTGAGTTGAAAAAAAATCAAGAAAATATGAATTATGAATCTAGATACGATTAACCGGTTAATCGGTCGAAATGTCTTATGAGTAACCAATTAGCAATTCTGTATTCGATTGCCATCCCTAATTATATTAATACATTTTAATGCCACAAGAAAGCATGAAGAATACAGATTATGAAATTAAGATGATCAAGGTTACATAGATTCTAGATTGATCAAGTCATACTCAATAAGCTTGAGGTGTCCAAGAGATCAATGTTTTTACTGGTTGGTATGCGTAGACTTCTTCGTATTTGTTATTACTTATATTCAGTAAGAATAAAATCAAACTTTTTCAATAGGACACATCAGCAGTGTTATTGGAGGCAGTGAAAACAAATGATCAAGACAAAGCATTTCAATTCAAGAAGAGTCATGAATGGGCAACTGTGGAAGAAATCATGGCGGCTCATGGTAGGCTTGGTTTATTTTTCCACATCAGAATGCATTTATTGTGTTCCAGGTGTTTTATATATAATGTTTTTCTCTAGTTGATCAATGCTTCTTTTGTAGTGCAAGAAAAGTTAAATGCATAAAATGTTTTTAAATTGTAATAAAAAAATTCTTGTCAACAAATATGTTTTGTGAAATATATAAACAGTGAACAATGATGTATAAAACTTCGTTTATCAATGCCTTCTTTTTTAAACCACTTGTAAAGTAAATACATGTGTGTATCTCATTAACATGTGCTTTATATTTTCAGAATCCTCACCCAGGGTACACAGAGAGACCTCCTATGTGGGCCCAGGTGCCTCTCCGCTGCCTCCCATAGGATCTGGGCCAGGGGCAGGATTGTGGACCTGTGCCCATTGTACCTACCTAAATACACCAGAGAAAAATGCATGTGATATGTGCTCATTACCAAAGTGATTCAATATGTCTCTTTGTTTAGTATTGTATGGCAAAAGTTTGAAGATGCAAGTCCTGCTAAAATGCACACCATTTCTAAAAATTGACAGTAATCAATGTATAAAGGTAAATCTGTTAAAAGATTTATTTTCTGTTTATTTATTCTCAGGTAAGAAAACACTTTTTAAAAAAAGACACAGACATTTTATGTATTTATTAAATTAGTGGACATGTATTTATTTTTGCACATCTATTTTTGTAGGCTTAAAATTAAAACAAGGACAATAGGCTTAAATTCTAGTGCTTATTATATGCTTTTTTATTTGATATGGAACAATTTATAAATAACATTACAAAAATATTCTTTCTACAGTGTGTTCTTCTTAAATTTGATTCCTACAAGCTGCACACATTCTGAAACCAGGATACATGTATTTTGAAAATACTTAAAATATTGATTCCTGTGTTCTCAAACATTGTTTTGAATTGAGCCAATCCAGATGTACATGCAATACATAAAAGGAAACATATAGAAATTATTCATTGTTAAAATTACCTGATATTACACAAAAAAACATTCTCTGTACATTAATGTAAATTATTGCTGTTTTGAAAGTGAAAGTACGTAGTAGATTGGTATTTTATGAAGAGGAATATCAAATTGGTGCATTTTGTTTAAATATTGATAGGCGAAATGAAGATGAAGTTAATAAATATTTCAATGGATAAAAAATCTTGGCTTATTTTAAGTTTTTTTTGTGCGTATGAATGGTAAAAAAATCATTTATTATGAAATAAATGTGCAATCCTATGGAAAAGGAAAGCTAAAAAAACCCTTACGATTTTGGCTTATTTTACGCCTTACGATTTCTCTCTATATTCTTCCGATTTCAGTTTTCTCGTTCAAAGTTTATAATTCCGTTATTTTCATAGCTGGTAAACCATCGTTTCTACATTATAATACGTATATTCATAATTCTTACAATGTTTGTATCATGGTTTCGGTTTTAGAAGGACAGTCACATTCATGTCAATGTTTTAAAGTAAACAAATTGGAAACAATCATGCCTCAGATTGTATGTTTATTTACAAAACATATTCAGCATCAGGGGCCAAGGGGCTTAGGTGGTCCTTACACACCGCCTTACTATTTGTAATTTCAGAATGTTGGCAGCTCTGTAACATGAATGTTACAACATTTTGAAATCAAATATGTCAGTTTAAGAAGAAGTTTTACTAGTAAAACTAGTGGGTTTGAAATCTTTTTGTTTCTTCTTTCATTGTAATTGGGGGATGTTAATTTGGTACTGGCATTCATCCATCTGTTATTCTGTTGGTGTATCAAAATGCATTAAAAGTTTTACAAATTCAACTTTATATCATAACTCCCTAGGGCCTAAAGAAGACACACATGTTTCTGGATGTAATCTTAACAAGCTCTTGAGATTTTGCAATGAAATCGTATGTGTAGGAAATTAGGCTGGACTGAGGACATTGGCCTGGATAGCTCAGTGGTTAGAGCACCTGACTAGAAATACAGGGGTCCCGGGTTTGATTCCCGGTCCAGCCATATTTTTTCAATATATATGTATTTATGAATTTTCAATGTATGTTTACTCATTCCTCCTTTCCATACTACAGATGGTGCCGTGGCCTACCTTGTTCAGGCATTATATAATGTATAATTACTGTAGAGTCCTGACAAGGTGAACTTGAGTTGTGTCTTCGGGGTCGAAGACTATTTAAAGGAAGGGGGAATGTAGGAAATTAGGCTGGACTGAGGACATCGGCCTGGATAGCTCAGTGGTTAGAGCACCTGACTAGAAATACAGGGGTCCCGGGTTCAATTCCCGGTCCAGCCATATGTTTTCAATATATATATGTATTTATGAATTTTCAATGTATGTTTACTCAGTCCTCCTTTCCATACTACATATGTAACAACTTGATCCTATGGTAATGGAAAGACCTCTATTGAATTTGAAGTGAAATAGTCAAAGAGCAAGGTCAGAAATTGCATTGCAAAAGATTTGTGCCAATATGATTTTATTTCTGTTTGATATTATTTCTATTTGAATTTTTTTAATGAAATCAGACCCCATTTTTTCCTGGTCAAAAGGAAAAAGGTCAGAAATTCATCTAATGCCTAAAAATGATTTCTGGACGATGACTACTTTTCCTAAATTTTCCAATAACAGATCCAACAGAGCTGTTGATTTTAGCTCTACTGGTGAAAGACCGTCTTCTATTTTTCTTTTCAAAATGCTATTCCTCCTACAGTTTATGTCAGATTTTTAATATAATATACTTTGGTATAGACTGATACATAACTTTATATTTATTTTTATTTCGTTGAATGATGTTGCCATGGTTATTTAAAATGGAAATTCTTTCAAAAGATTACTCCTTCTAGGATTTTGCTGGGTTGCAATATAATTTAGCACACAAACCAACTACAATAAGCTACATAATTTTGCATTTTTATAATTCTGATGAACGGTAATCTATTGTAACTAAGAATAGAAATGTTTTTGGAATACATGTACTTTCAAAACCCTATTTTTGGTCTGATTTCAAAATTACTTGGCACACAGGTAATTGATACCAATTCTTGTAATCTCTCTTTTTATTTTGAATGGTGTTGCCATGGCTAGTATAATAGAAATTTCAGTGAAATACTTTCAGAACGCTACTTCTCCAAAAGTTTTGATCTGACTTCAATATACACAAGTTGAATGTACTTCTTAATTCTGCTATCATTTTTCATTTTACACAAGTAGATTGCAGTCTTAGTTTTGTGTATTATGATGTCCATGAATAATGTTGCCATGGTAACTTTCATAAAAATTCTTTAAAAAATTTTCCCTACATATGTCTGATTGCAAGAAATCTTTCCACAAAAAGAGACGGAACCAGGATCATTATTCTGTATATTAGTGTTGCAAAGTTTTAAACTCAAGTGCCACTTTTCTTTTGTTACAAGTTCAAACCCAGTAGAGCTACCGCCTCGTCAGAGACTTCTGGTTTCACTTCTTCCATCCTATTCTTTTTTCCTAAGCTAGGGACAAAATTTCTCCTAACTACACGTAGCTTGCTTCCTCTTCAGATTATCAAAGCAAAGATGTAAAATGGTTTGACAGTTTTTTTTGTATAGCATGTTATTTTCTTTTTTTTTCAGTTCTTATTAAGCAGTTTGAATAGTTTTTCATGTACATTAAAATTATAATTTCTTTTTAAACTGTGTTCAGCGATTTTTGAATAATATTCTGATAAATGTATATATATTTTAACTTGCAAAATGTATCAACTATTTTCTGGAATTTTTTGTAGCGTCGTACATTTTAGAAGTGATTTAGTTACAGCATCAAAATTTTTAACGAAATACCATCTAAGTTTTACATTCACTGCTACATGTATTTTTTATTGGACTTTTAAGGGTTACAAAGGGACATTCACAAGTTTTTTTTCCAACAGAAAAAAGCAAAAACTTCCCGTTCAAATGATTACATTTACATATTTAAGATCGCTCAGAAAAATCTTTCCAGGTCAGAGGAATCTGAATCACTTCGCTCCACATCTCGGATCAGAAGCCCATGATCTGCGAAGATTCTAATGGTTATTTTTTGTTCTTACTTAATTAACATAGTTTTGTCATATTATTTTATATCTCTGCGGGATTACATGGTGAACTATCTGGGATTTGATTTATGTGTGTCGAGGTTGGTCAATTCCTATCTTCCAGTAATTCTGCATAATACTGGTCTTATTTTTAAAGACATGTCAGCCGATTTCCAAAGTGGACATATTCAAGTCAATGATCTCTTCGATTCCTAAATCGTTGTTTCTTTATAACGTTAGAAGATACAGGTTATATCAAATATGTACTCGTAATTGCTTAGTTTCTCAGCACGCATAAATGCTTGAAATTGACATTTATATATAAAATCAACATTAAAATGAGTTTTTCCATTAAAAAGAAAATACGTGTCAGACTTTCTGCTTTGTTCTTTTGTAAACCCACTCATGTGACTGCTGTTGAACCCGAGACACTAAACCGTTTGCCAAATATTTTTCAGGCGTAAAGCAAAATTAATGATTGTTTTAGTATCCACGGAGACAAGGAAACTTAAATCAAACATGAAATATTGATTTTGTAACGTACTATTATCTCTTTGGTCAAACTCCCCCAACACTATCAAGCTGAGTTTTTTGTTCAACCTTTTAAAGCCATATATGGCGTAACTGATCAAAAAATATATTTTTGAAAAATACAAAATTAAGTAAAGAAATATAGTTTATACATTTAAATCAAAACTTTTCATACATTTCTGAACAGGGAGATCACCTCGTTTCAACTAATAATACGATTTTATCTTCTCTTTAATGTGTTATTCAAATCTTTTGTATTTTCTTCCGAGTCGGAGAAAATTCCGAGAATCAAAATTAAATTGCGATATCTTTATAACGCAGTTGACTTAGATTTTGTAATTTATGGAAAAGTTCTATCTTTATATAAAGTAATGATACAAATAAAAAGTTCTTATCATTTTAGTCTAATAATTTTCATTGTACATACGCCATATATGGCTTTAAAAGTTGTTTTGTAACCCGCCATAGAAAATCTACCGTAGTACTTAGATATTACGAACTATAAAATTCGAACAACATGTAGAAGAAAGAGCTGTCTTCCAAAGTCATTTTACTGTCATTTTATTAAACGCCAAGTATATAATTATACTTTCCAATTCTCCTGATCACTTAATCAATAGCAAAGACTTTCTAAAAGTTCTCCGTTTTTATTTTTGAAATACAAAACATTTTATTAAACAACAATAAATTATGCATATTAACATGATGCGGACGACATTTTTCGTTTTGCATCGTCAGTAAGCTTGCTTTTCCCATTACGAGTAACTTGTGTGCGACTCCTTTCTAACCACTTGCCATTCGAAGTTAATTCAGGGGTATTAGCACATGTGTAAGTGTACAACTGGTACCCATTTCCACGAGATCTTCTCTTCACTACTTTATGCCGACCCCTGGAGTATCGTACAATACAAGGACAGATCTGGAACAGCAAAGTCCTGAGATCGTACTGTAAAAAAAAAACAATTAAGAGATGCAAATTAAGTCACTCTTTTTTTAAATAAAATAAATAAAGTCAATTAGTTTTATAAATAACATCTCTTGCAAATAATTTTGCCTATAGAAGTATTGTGCCTAGATTGTTACTAGATACCTATATAAGACTTCAAAAAGAACCTTGGCCTATATTGAGTAATGAAACGAAAATTGTTGCACGAAAAAGAAAACCAAATTCCTTTTAAAATTTTAAAAATTTCATTTTGATTTTTTTTATAATTCAATTTTTTTAATTATATAAGTTATCGTTCCTGGTTGAGGATCATATGTCCTTAACTCGGACACTTAACAATAATAATAATAATATGGAAAGCAAAATGTGCCAAAGATAACACGTTATATAAGCCGTTTTCGTAGTTATGCACTATTACCAAAAAAGTCGTAAATATTTATGCGTGACATTTTTATAGCATTTTTACATTGGCTTTAAGTATATGTCACATAAATCAAAAGGAACGTCTTTGATTAAATTTTTGTATACGGAAGCTTCACTTCTTCAGTCACTTACTCTAAAGTTTTCATTCATAAAACTGTAAATGAGTGGATTCACAAAGGAATTAGACATGGCAAGCCAGTGAGCAACGAAGTAAA